AGTTAAGGCTTTAGGTGAAGAATGTTCACGCTCTTTAACAATGTATATTGTATAATTTTCTTTGAATAAATGTTATACATAAAATATTTGAGTATTTTTCGGCGTGGAACGCATTATCATATTTTACATTAATTTATATGGGGAAAATTGTTTTGCTTAATGAATGTTTTGCACTACAAGTATGATTCTGGAATGAATTATGCTTGTTAAGTGAGGTTCCACTGTACAAATAAATACTTAAACAATATAATGTGTTTCTTTATGTACTTGAAATTTTCCCTGAGGTAAATTCATTATATCCATATTTTTGATTCTCTCCATCAATTTTAGTATGACTTTATAGAGAAATTTTACATAAAAATATTTAGATACTCAGTGGTATCTTTCTTATAAAAGGAATTGTAGTGTGACATTTTAAAAAAGGGTAAGGTCGGAGTTGCATATCACAAATTTATTGGAATTGGATTTTTCATTTACCGACTCCACTGCACTGCTTGCAACAGTGCTCATTGACAGTATTGTTGGTGTGGTGAAATAACACTTAATTACACTTGGCTTTATATGTAATAAATTTCATTTTTATTTTATTTTTGGTTTCTTCTCTGTACCACATATCACCTACTGAGAACATGTGACTCTGAAATTGTTGATTTTGATTTACAAGCACTATGATTCATTCATTTACAGTAAAATGTGTGTGTCATGTTGTTATTTCACTATAAAATCTTCAAAACTTACTTAAATATTTATGCTTTAGTGATATAACTATAATTTAAAACATTGCATATTAACTTGAAAAATAAGAGAAACCAATCTACTTGAATACTTTCAAATAGAGTGTGTTTTAAATTACTTCCTTAATACTAGAACGAATCACTTTTAAAGTCCAGTAACAAAAAAATTTTTTATTGAAAAAATTTTTGTTACTGGACTTTAAAGATTGTTTAAAATGTGGATGTGTTTTTGCTATAAAAGAAGGAAAAAAGTTAATTAATTGGATAACAAATGGTTGAGTAAGAATTAAAGGTAGAAGTTTTGACAAAAACTATAAAAGCAATTATACAAATTGCAATCATAACTAAAATATGTTAATTTTCACATCTGTTGAATACTCTTTTGATATATATCATATGCAATTTCCATGGCTACTACAGTACTTTTCCATTAAATGTGATGAAATCATCAAGTTTAAAAATATATAATCAATATATAATCAAGTCTAGTTAGTGATTTATTTAAGATTGAAATTGAATATTATCTTCCATTAACTTCATTTGAATTATAAAAATGTTTTATTGTTTTCAATGTAAATTTTTTATAAACTTTTAATTAATTCCATATTATTAGTAATTTTATATATATTATTGTGCCAAATTATTCGCATATTAAGAATTTAATTTTGATATTAATTGCATTTACTAAACTGTTTAGATTAAACATTTTTCATATCTTATCAAAATGAATGAAATCTTTATACATGCACTACAGCTGTATTATTAATTACTGGAATATTGCCAGAAAAACTAGACACATTGATATTTCCCAGAAATAATTTTTTTATAAATTCAGTCATTTGATACTTCCTTTCCATGCTGTTTTTTATTTTCAGTAAAATGAATGAACTACTTTATTTAATATTGAGTTTTGACAATATATAAGTATTTAAATGATTAAATCCTAATCTTGATACACAATGTTTCTGTTTAATTTTTTTTCAATACATATAACAAAATTATAAGTGTTTTCTTTGATAATTAATAAAAATTTATTATTATTTCTGATTTTGTAATGTATACTTTATGAATGTTTCTTTAAAAATTCAATTATGAATAACAATATACAGTGTATAAATACTCTAAAAATATTGTTTCCTAATGAAATATGAAAAGATATTAGCAATTATGTCACATAATTTTGTATGGATAACCTGCAGAATATCTGTATTTAAAAATGGGTGCAAGTTATACAACAATGAGAGTTACCTGCTAATTTTAACTTGCAATTATGAAATTTTCATATAACCTTACCTTTTTGTGTAAAGTCAATAGGAGCATCTTTAGAAAATGCAGAAAGTCCTTTACATACCACAGATGTTTCTCTGTTGCCATGATTTTTTTTCCAAAATCACCAGATACATGTATATGCCTTCCCCTTTTAGTTCTGTTTCATTTTCATGCATCAATCTGTGTTTTATTATTATTATACTCCTACTTGAACTTCTATGTAAAAGATGACCATTTTCTCTATAAAAACTTACAGAACTGTTTAGATTCTGAGAAACTGACTTTTTCAAGCTGAAATTAAAATTTTTCTGTTAAATTTGTTTCAAGTTTAAATTTAGCACTTATAATATGTTTAAATGTGTGTTTTTAATATTTTTATAGTAAAATTTACATATATTTATTCTCTAAATTTTAATAATAATTAAGTGATTTCAAACAACTTTAACTAAACATTTTGTAAACATTAAAAAATTAGTATGAACAGATTTGAATTCTCACAGCACCTTTTGATGTAATTATGAGATATTTATAAAGTGACAGAGATATGCATTTATATTAATCAAGTGAAATAATTAATACTTTTAATCCATAAAGATAGCATTGTTAAAAAATTTTTTTATCTTCAAATAATATAAAGTTCATTTAGTGATCAAGAAAATTGTAATTAATAAAATTCTCTCTGTTGTTGGCATTAACAACATTCAAAATTATATTAGATTTGCATTTTAAAAATAATATACACTATTTTAAATTGCTAATAGCATAATAAATTGTAAAATTTATGCAAATTGAATAGATGATATTAAAATAAGCATAATTTATAGAAATTTAAGAATTTCTATAAATTATGCTTAAAATTTAAATGAATTTTGTAATTAAAATTAAATCTAAGAGTTGCTTTTCCTCCTAAACACTATTAGTGATACTTTCTTATGCAGATTTATTGTTAACATGTAATGATTTTTTTAACTCTCTCCTTTGTCGGCACTAAGAGCCCATTTTTTTGAGTCTTTTGGGGTTTGGCTGGATGGAGCAACTGAGTGGCAGAAGGATGGGTCTGGTGTATCCAGGACGGACCACCCATGGAACAATTAATTTCCAGAGCAGTTTGTCCAGCTTCAATTCCGAGTCCCTCAGAGTTGTAGACTGCCTTAACTAACCACCTTGGCCATTTGGCTGGTAGTTATGGCCCCCTCTTTCTGTGGGGGATTGGTTTTGAATTTTATTCAAATCTATACTTTTAATGGTTAGTGTATCCATTAAAAGTTGCACCATGTTAACTTATATTATTATGGATTAGATGTGCTATAATAAGTAAAGTTATGGTCAATCATATAGTCTGTTTTATGCTTCACATTGCTCAATCAACCATTTGTATTAAGTATTAATTATATGGCCTGAATCTTATCAGGCTATATTATGGCTGATTAATTATTAAGATACTAAATAATTTGGACTAGAAGTAGATGGATATGCAACCATCTCGTGTTAAATGTAATCATTAGAAATATGTAAATTAATTTAAAATATTTTGGAAGAAAAGATTTATCTGGAGCATAATTCAAACTTGCAACTCTTGCTTGCATTACATTTTATGTTATCAGGGCCTCCATTCAATCTCTCCAGGCCCTATCCAGACCAATTAATTTAGAAGATATAACCCTATTAGCCATACTGTAGCCCAATAAGAATCTAGTTGTATAATTTGATTATTAACTAAGAACACCTAACTCAATAACCTAAAAATCCAGCAAAAGAATCACTTGAAAAGCAAACATTTTCATATACTGTATGTCATTGTCTGCTGAGTGGTGGAGATGGGTCCAGTTTGTAAGAAAATCATGCCATTCTATTTTAGAACTTTACCTGAGGATATCTATTTCAAATAGATGAAAATGTTTTCTTTTCAAGTGAGTGGTGGTACTTTTGTTGGTTTTTGGGTTATTGAGTTAGGAGTTAATAGTGTGATATTAACCAGTATTTAGCAGTCATCCTTCTGATTATTAACATACGAAGGCAGGCTGAAAAGTAATGAACACATGCTTGTAGAACATGAACAAAAACAAATAGCAAGATCGGGCAAAAAGTACATTAAAGTACAATTCTTAAGCTTCAAAATCATATATTTATTTTTCAACATAGTCACCGTTAAGGCTAATACATTTCTCCCAACATGTAACAAGTTTTTTCATTCCATCAATGAAAAATTCTTCTGACTTTTCTCGAATCCAGGACTTGACAGCTGCCTTCACCTCATTGTCTGAGGTGTAATGATTACCCTTGAGGTCTCTCTTAAGTAGAGGAAACAAATAAAAATCACAAGACGCAAGATTGGGGGGAATAAGAAGGGTGTGGAATCGGTTCAAACTTCAGGTTTCGCAGAGCCTCTCCAGTTGTGCACGAGGTGTGTGGACGAGCATTGTCATGTTGCAAGATTATTGGTGCCAGTCTGCCTCTAACATGTCAAACTCGACGTCAGAGGTGTTTTAGAGTCTGTATGTACTGAGAAGAATTAAATATTGCAACAAGGTGCAACGGTAATTGTCTGTGGCAGTGATTGGACTTCCGCTGCGTGTTTCATCAACAATTATGGCTTTTCCAGGCTTGCAACCACAAAATTTTATTATCCATCAATTTACAATAGACCTATCAACAGCATTGTCACCATAAACAGCCTTTAAACGTAATTTTTTCAGCAGTTAAAAATTCGATAACAGCATTCTGTTTAACTCACGTTGACATAGCACCAGAACACATCTCCATATTTCTGCTTCTCAAAATATACTGAATGAATGCAACAACCTCAGACTGCGCATGCACATAGAGGGGGAATGTTACTTCCATATGCCACCTGGCACGCTTCTGAAAATCATTTCGTTTGTGCTCTACAAGCATGTGTGCATTACTTTTCAGCCTGCCCTCGTACATGGGGTTTTGTTTTGTATGTAATTACGTTTTAAGTATTTAAAAAAAACCTGCAGGAAATGGAAATATATAAATGTAATGACACTAGCTAGATTAATGATATTTTGTTTAATAAATTTAAAGGTTAATAAATTTTGTTTTTCAGGTGTTGGAACTTTGGCTGTCTTAAGAAGAATGTTGAAATATGACTGTTTAGTTTTAGTCAAACAATATCGACCAGCCCTGAAAGCATTCACTTTGGAATTCCCTGCAGGTGGGCTATATGTGTTTATAAATTTTAATTAGTAAATTTTATCTGAAATGAAGATTTACATGAAGCAAAATATTGTTTCTTTAGGTTTAGTTCAATCTTCCGAATCTGCTGAAGAAACAGCTGTAAGAGAATTGAAAGAAGAAACAGGCTATACATTTACTTCAATTAAACATGAGAGTCCAGGTAGTTATATAATTGTCATAAATGATTTTATACACTACACTACATTATTTTCATTTTAAAAAAATAATTTCTAGATGTAAAATATACACAAAGAAGAGTATTATTACATATGTATTAATAAATTATAAAAAGTAAACTTTTTGAAAGGAATTTTAAAAATCCTGTATCCTAGAATTATAACAGTTTTATTTTTGTTTTTATAATTCTTAACATACTTGTTTATTAAGGAATAGTTACATTGTGGAAAATCTAATTATTTGGTTAATAAAGTTGTAAATAATTTGGATATAAAATAATTCAAATTTTGCAAAAGTGTGGGGACAACATTATATAGATATTAAAAGAAATACTGTTTCATTGTGACAATATGTTATGTATTATTATATAATCTTTATTATATTGAGAAGATCATCTTAACTTCAATTAGTAAGATTAACTGAAATAGCCTTAAGAGACGAAATTGGCCGAAGAGAAACTTGTTTGATGATTTTGCTGTACAAATTCTCTTTGTAGCCTTAGAGGTAAAATCAATGCACATGGCTCAAATCATAAAACAACACATGGATTATAATGTTCAACTGTTTACATATTTGTATTATGATACATCATTGGGTATGCCTTCCTTCAAATAATTTTTTAGTAGAAAAAGAATTCTTAAGAGTTCCAGAACTAGAACCTCTTTGACTATTCAAATTTATAACAATAAAGATCTAAGGAAGAGAAAAATATTAGGACAAGACTGAAATTATCTGCTGGAAAGAATAAGGTTATAATTTTATCACATTATAAATTTTTTAGTTTTTGTAATTTTTAATGAAAAACTTTAATAAAAAAAAAGTTGTAAAATTTATATTTAATGTACAGACACAGAATACAAGTTTATCATCTCAAAACATCTTCATTGAATAAAGCACAATAGAATGATTTAGAACACAATAAAAAATAAAATTTATTTAAATTTGTTCAAAAAGGAAGAATTCAGTTGTACTGTGTCATTCTGCTCCATTGAAGATATGGGCTATTCTGAGTGAAGCTAGCCCAAATCATTGATTGAGTAAATTATTGTAATTTTCATATTGGAAAAAAGAGGGATAAAATAAAATTGGACAGAGAAACTATTTGAAAATTTAGTTTCATTCACAAAACTTGCATAACTATAACTAATGCTTCATTATTTAAGGAGGTCTGGTAGTTTTATGTGGATACTCTTATGTTTGTATGTTGAAGATGTAATTGACCAAAAACATACAGTATCAGGCCAAATATCTGGCAAGCTTGGGACTAGATAGGGTCTGGATTTCTGGACACAGGCTAGTTATATACTTAAAGTATAGAATAGACAGCAGAAAGTAGAGAATGATACTGTTTTTTAACATGTATGTTAGCATTCTCACTGGATATGGCACTGTGCAATGCATACATCATGGAAAACAAAGTGGCCATGTGACAAACTACCACCATACTATAGCTTCCCAAATTTAAAACTGGCAAGATACAAAAATAGCTAATTTTCTGGTAAATCCATATTTTTGGAATTTGGGTATTTGGTTTGGTACTATTAATATATTACCTTAATTATAATTGAAAATTCAGAAAGAATAGAAAATGAAATTTATTTCAAAATTTTCCAGCAACTGCCTTAGATCCTGGATTATCTAATTGTACTATGAAAGTTGTAAGTGTGGAGGTAGGTTCATTAAGTTTTTTAATTTAATTAATAATATAACAAAATAAATAAAGTATAAGTAAATTCTTCTTTATTTTAGATTGATGGAGATAATCCTTTAAATAAAATTCCCATACAAAAGCCTGCAGATGAAGGTTTGTATATTCATTTACATTTTATTAAAGAAATAACATGTTTATATGAAAATTTTAATTATTGCAGACCACATTGAGGTTGTTCACATTCCAATCGACGATCTTCTTCAGAGATTGAATGGTAAGTCCTTGCAATACACGGATTTTTAAAAATAAGTAGTTAAATTCAATGTTAATGCAACAAAAAACCCACCCCCCTTTATTTTCAGAATATAGCGAACAGGGTATTATTATTGACTCTAGAGTATATTGTTTTGCCATCGGTCATGCCGTGGGGTCCAAACACAGTTTAAATTGCAATCGAATGACCATAGATGCTCAATAAACTCATTGACCTCATCTATAGATGCCAAAATAAGTCCTTGAATTGAAATTTTGTATAAACTTTTCAGATAAATCATATTTTTATGTGAAAATATTTTATGATTTTTTAAAAATAATTTAATAAATATCAACAATAATTGCTTTTAATTTTATATATTGAATGTTTTCTTTTAATAATAACTTACCATATTGATAGCAGATGGCACCATGTTTGCTTATCGGTCCATAGATTTGACCTTTTGCGTATGTTAAATAAGCAGGAAAACACGGGATTTCCTTTTTATTTTTAATTTCCGACAAAAGTTGAGGATTAAATAATTCAAAAAACAATTTCTGTAAAATATAAAGCATCATATACATAGAATCGCGCGATAAATTACATAAATTTATCCAAAATTTGAATTTTTCCAGTTTTCAAACCAATTTCAAATCTCTCTCCGACCTATCACTTGGATTACGCAGCTCGTCGATTCATAAGTTGATTGCATTTAAGCTAATTGAATAATGAATGCTAATCGATTTAAATTACAATTTTTATTCGAGTGCGTCGTTGAATTTAAGTGGTACGGAGTTGAATTTTTTTCTATAACGAATTAATGTGAAGGAGGTCCATAAAATAGCCGTTATTTTTAAATTTATAAGGATTGATCTTCTCAAAAGAGGAGGACTTCCTTACCAAGTGAAGGAGACAGGAAGAGATGGATCAACAGATGTTAATTTTTTCTTTTTCTTTCCTTCTTATTTGGATGGAAGATGGAGAGAAAGTGTTGATAATTGTTCGTTAAATTATCAACACTGTTTATCAATAAAGTATCGTTAAATTAGTAGGAAAGGATGGAAGAAAAGAGGAAAAAAGCAATCTTTTTCTGTAGACTAGAATAGTTTTTCAGTAATTTTCTAGTGGTTTTAGACTTTAGTGTTTGCACTCGAGTGCGCATTATCTCCGGTTTTATAGTTCTCTACATCCGTGACTGGAGCTGTATCGCTTTACTTCACCCTTGTCGGCTTCCAATAATGATTTACCACCCCTCTCCATCGATTTGAGGATGATCCCAAATTTTGTTCGGATCCTGTTTTATTTTCAAATGGATGCTGGAGTATTACGTAGATCGAATCGAGGTAATCCCATTTATTACTAGGATAGCTCCCTTTTTTTATTATTAGGTGACACGCCAGTGATTTTTCCAATTTTTTACGCCTCTGATTATTTATAAACGTGTTTTTTCGCGCGTATTTTCTATAAATTTTTATTAAATTTAACACTTTAATACTTTTATAACATGAATTCCTGTTTATATTCTTTTTGTCCGTGGAACCCTCAAGGTCGAGTCATCTATGATTGATTTTTCCATAGTAAAATGACAGTAATTAAATATGGATGCTTTACATCTTTATAGAAAAATAAAATAATTTAAAATAATATATGTAAACTATATAAAATCATCTATATGAGATAGGATTTGTAATTTACGGAGCACGTAGGCCCTACTCACCTAATGCCATAAACCAGTGTTTCTCAACCTCTAACGAATCGTCGCCCCCTTCACTTCAAAATTCCTATGCCGAGAACCAAGATTAACGCCAAATTCGTACTGCATTGAATAGACTAGTGACTAGTATAATGTTGTTTGTTTAATTATTGTACGATATAACGATTAAAATATCTAATTATTCTTAATATAATGTTTTACTATATCTCCCAGAGAATTGTTTTTCGCCCCCCAAAATATAAATTGTTACTAATCGCCCCTCAACATGGAAAAACCCGCGTTGAGAAACACTGCCATAAACGAATATGAATAAAATCAATAAAAGAATCAAAAATTCTTCTCCACTTATCCACTTAATTTATCTTTATTATTATTTTTTTTTCTCTCAGAGAACTCCAAAATTTAATTTCGTGTCTCTTAGACCCATTAAACTTCATCCTTCCTATCTACACGTGTTACAGAATGCTAAGAAGTCAGTTAACTGTTGTAAACGATCAATTGCAATTAACTAACTAAATTAACTAGAAAATTCAGTTAATTCGACTGTGTTTTCCCGAGATATTACAAAAGGAAAAACACGTTATTCTAAATTGTTTACCGTTTATGTTGCAAAGCACAGTTGGCATGCACACAGTATGATAAACTGACTTTTGGCTTTGCACTTTACATATATTATGGTATGATCAGCCAATTTATTTGATCGAATCTCTTATTTTAATTGAAACAGATAAGAAACAAATGACTTTTACAAAGGAATTCGTTCCTATAATATGGATACCCTCTCTCCATTTTCTTTATCCTATAATCGTCCTTTAAAATGACGTTGGATTTTATATCAGTTGCGCAAAACATTTTCTTTTGATATTTACTCAATTTTAGCTTTTGTAGCCCTTTTGTTTCTATCAAAGGATTGCCAATTGCTACAACTCGTTCCTAATAACTGCGACTGGTCCACCTCTAATTAAACAATTATTTTTGTCGTACTTTAACTTGTTTAACTTTTATTAAATTATCCTTCAGTAGATCGATAAATTTCGTTGATATTTCTTTCTGGGATTCAATTAACTGTTGATGTAGTAAATGTCTTCGAGAATCCATTGTGTTTTGATATTATATAATAATCACAAGTAGGTTTCGAAATTGAACCTCTCTTTTAACACAAATTTTATTTTATTGAATTGAAGTAAAAGGCAAAAAACAATGTTAATTGTCAATTATTGAAGCCTAGAAAATGCTTAGCTTAGTATTTGCTGAACTTTGTCGTATTTTAATGTTGTGATTCTCCGTTATCGTTGAGAATTGGAGTTTATATGATGGACAGACATGCTAGTGGACTCATTAATCATAGCTATAACTTCCAGTAGTGGCTAAACATCAATCTTAAGTTTTGTGAGTTTATTGGAGATGAGTTACATTAGAATAAAATTGAATTATTATTATTTTAAAACTGTTAGACATAGGATGTGATGTCTTTTTTAGTGAATAAATTTTCCATAATTGTAATTAAATTCTAGTAAATGAATTTTTTCGGTAATAGAACTAATAAAATTTGATTTATCTTACATTTTTAAAAATCTTTTTTGCTCATTTTAGTTCTTAAGTTTTGTTTTTTAATGAAAAATGCTCAAAATTCCGTTACATTTTATTATAATTTATAAATCTAGAAACTCTTAAAATTAAGTTTACAAAGTTTAACACGTAGAGCAAAGAGTGTCGGAAGAGAATTTATGTATTATTTTAGTAAAAATTCTTAAATTTATTAATTAAACCGATTTTTAAACGAGTAGCAGAGTTTTACACGCGTTATACGGGAAATCTAGTCGTAAAATCTCTCTTAATTTACTTGCATCTCGTGAAAAATGCTCAGAACGAGATCGAACGAGATGATTTGTCATAGGGAGTGTTAATTGTCGTCTTCAACGAGCCACTTTGTCGGTTGCACATCAACAACAGTCCTCTAGGGTCTTGTTAGTCGACTGGACGATTGTATCAGTAACAACTTCCACTTTTTCCATAAAGATCCGATAGTCTATCACCGCATATAATCTCTAACAAGTGTTCTCTTTCATCTCAACACCCCACTTTTCTCCAAATTTGCTAATTCTAACTGCCGAATCGTCGAGTAGCTTTTCATATGAATTTCGTTCGTTTGAATTTAATAAATTAAAGCAATTACTGTGGCTATACTCTGCCCGTAATTGCCGATACGAAGGGAAACTGCTTCGATCGTTATCGATCCGAAATTTTGGCAGGCATTCGGAAGAAAGACCCACTTTAGTTCCTCGGGTAGAGTCCATTCTTAAAGACAGAAATCTTATTACACCGAGTCTGAAATAACGCGACGTTACTTTAGTAAAGTGGTTTATTCCCCGAAATTAGTGCGATAGTAGGTCAATTATCGGTTTTATGTAGTAGAAAATAGTACTTATTTACGGTTCGACCTCTTAAATTATTATCGTTTAATTAAATAAAATTTTACTGTGACTGAGATCAATGACATTAGTATTGATATTAATAAGCATACTACAAAATAAATGATGAGGAAAATGGTTTTACACGACGGATTTTATAATATAACACAGTTGAACCTCGATATAGCGTCACCCCGGTATAGCCATCAGTGCCCAAGAATGGATCTTCCTCATAACTACTATCCTTCGATATCTCTAAATTATAAAATGTAGGATTTTACATTGCAAAAAGCATCACCAAATTATGTGACTCGTGTTTAGATCTCACTAAAACAAGTACTCAATTTAGTGCCAATTTCAGAATCGAACAAGTGCTTGCGTTATATCGAGGTTTGATTTGTATAACACTATTAAAAATGTCTGAATTTTTATTTAGAAAATTCAGTATTTTCAAGCGTGCCTCGTACTAGCCGAGTTGACATAACTTGTTAATTAATTCGAAATAACAGCTGAACTTTATATAAATTTGCAGAAAAGTGCTGCGGATAATGGATTTATAAACTAATAGGTTTCAGGTGTATTGGTTATTTTATTAACACTTCTCAGTATAAAAACAATAAAAAGTAACCGTGACTAGAGAGAGAAGCTAATTAAGACCTACTGAAGGTCGTGGGTTCGATCCACCCGAAGCCAAAACATTCTGTACGTGCTTATAAACGTAATTTTCAAGTGTTTTGATGTTCCGAACACGATTTTTACTCTCTTTTTGATACTGTGTGGATGTGCGTGTCTTTGGTAAGAAAGGGGGACCAAGTTTGATGGAGGCGATTCGTTATTTCGCGCGGTTGCACCTATTGATTTTCGGAATGATTAGTACTTTTTCCTTTCCTTTCTTTACTTGTATTTGCTCTCGTGTCGCGTGTACACACGTGGGCTAAGTTGTGTGAAGCTCACAGATTTGTTTTCTTTTTAAACAAATAAAGCCTTTCTTTGAAATATGTATCTTTCTTTCATCCATAGTAAAAATTTCTTCATAAATATAGCTAATTGTCGTATAAAATAGTTGCGTTAACGCAGTAAAACCCATGTAAACAAGAAATGCACGATACAAAATTAATTTGTCCGTTTTAGACGGGTTTTACGGCACTAGAAATTGTCCTAAACTTTCTATGTTGAGTTCTATAATAGTACGATTATTTACTCTTATTTAAATGAAACTCGATTAAAGAGCATGCATGACAGACGTGACGTCACGTAAGAGGCGCCCGACTTGTCAACCGCTTTCGAATTCAAATCCAAAAAATAAATTTCATAGAAAATCCGTCACATTCAATCAATCATAATCCCCGTCTTTCTCGTTTAAATTTAATTTTAAACGAGAAAATTTTTCTTTTTTATTTTCATTAATATTTTGAATAATTCTTGCATATTAGAGGGAACTCGGTTTTTCAAGGTTTATTACATAAAAACCAATTTTAAAAATATATCGAGGACCTCAAGACGGTATTTGGCACGGGCATTTCTAGAATCCGAGAGACCCTATAAGTGTGTATTTTAATAATTCGATGTCCATTTTACTAATATTAGGCAATTCTGGAGGAGAAGTAGGTTTTTTTTCTTCCTCTTTGCTTCAAAAGAAATTGAGTTATGACGTAATGAGTAGGAAAAAGGAATGAGATAGTCACTCCGAATCAGCTAATCAGCCAATTAACGACAGTAGAAGCAAGAAAAACGGCTGCAATACCTACCCATAACATGAAGCAGCTAAGTGCACGTGCACTTACAACGGAGACGGTACGATTCTCTCCCCTCATTTTCGCTACCGATTAAACTATCGTTCTCCACGGATTGTTTTCTGTATATAAATCCCGACCTTGCTATCGATTTACAGATCGTAATGCAACGATATAATCGTGACAAATTCGTATAAATATCTCCTCCTCAGAGAATATATCGGGAAGAGGGCTCCCTTAAATATCCCTCAAGGGAAATTCAGTAACATCTCTGATACGCCGACTTCTTTATGGTATAAAATCAGTTTTTCTGTTTTCTTGTAGTTTGTATCGAAATATTTGGTCTTTTGATGTTTAAGTGGAAGAATTACTTTTTTATTTTACGAAGAAGTTTTCGTAGTTAATAATAGAATAATTAGAGGTTTAGCGTTATAAAAACGAGAACCGCGCTATAAATGACTGCATGTCAGCATTTAAACGCGTTTCTCTGAGAAAATTTCTTAATAGCTTCATAATGTTTTACATAAAAACTTAGTGTTTCTGCTGTTTATTTTTCAAATATTTTAGCTTTATTTATTTTAAAATTAAATTACTAACTGGAATAAAGTTTGTAAAGGTTAAAAATAGGTCGCTTGGTCGGAGGGGAAATATATATATATATATCGATTAAGCCTAAAATACTCAAAGGATATAAGTTAAGCTCGTAAAGTTTGTCGGGCCGAATTTATTTTTGTCAAACGTAAGCAAAAACTGGGCAAGATGTGAGTCTCAAATTGCTGAAATCCCGAGGGAGTTTGGAAAAATATGCCGCAAGAGGGCGACTTTGCTATTGGAAGATTTTCTTTAATAACCACGTGACCGACTGGAGCGCTTCTTGCTGATCGAAGACAACAGAAAGGAGGCTTTTTTAAATTTATTATATTTTTTTCAACGGGAGTGAGTATAATTTTAAAATTATATTTTAAAAATAGCAGTATTTTAAAAAAGTATCTTAGTGGTTTCTTTTATATTTTTTTAGGTAATATCTCTCCAATAGTTAATCTTGTATAAGCGTTTCTTGTCCGGTTTCTATATAGAAAAATGTTCAAATCGATCTTTGTTTATACAATTTTAACAATTAGTAAATCTCAAAATTTCGATTATTTCTTCATCGATTCGAACGAAACGATTTTCTTAAAGGACAGTTTGGATTATTTCAACAAAAACTTTAATTTTAACGACGATCGCGGCGATGTTTCGGTATCTGAAACTAGTACGATTAATATAAATTTGAAAAATATTTCTAATGAAATGAAAACTGGCAACGCTAGGCAGAGCTGTACTCTTTTGATGACGTTAATCGTCCATAATGACGATCATCTGTTAAAATTATTTTGGGATTTTCACATTTATTTATTCTCGATTCTATTTACTATTTCTTCTATTTATTCTATTATAAATATGTTATTGTTCTTAACAGTATCGGATAGTCGTTACCGAAAATATTTTTTCTTCTTAAATTCAATGCTCTTGATGTCATCGACATTCAGAGTGATATTTTTACTGTACGATTCTTACAATTCGAATAATCTGAACTTATTCAGATATTTTATTTATAAAACCGCTTATCCGAGTATTAGTTCGGGTTTTGGTTTAATTTTTCTTATTTATTTTCAATCCACCAACCTGAAATTTCCACGTCCCTTCGCAGTTCTCTCCATTATAACTTTTCATTTTCTCTTCTCCTTGACTTCTGATATTATGTCTGGATGGTTCGGGCGATACATAATTTTATTTATGATCTGTCAAATAATATTCATAACGTGGTCTAATTATTTATCATTCATTTATTTATATAATTTCAGAGAACTGTTGAAAATTGCCATCATCAAACACGGCGAATATTTGAGATCGACTTTCACTCGTTCTCGTGTCAATAAAACAAATTTTGACAAGTTAAATTATTATCTGGTGGTTAAAATATCTTTAATAGTTTCCATCTTATTTATTTTAATAGCGATTATCAATATTTATGGTGTTTCGGCTTTGGTTTTTAATTTTAAAACTTGTTCGCCGTGGTCTCTGTGGTGTTATCACACCGTAGATAGAAGCTTGGAAGTTATGATTTGTCTATGCTGTTGCTTTCTCGTATATAAAACTAGGCATTTCTATTATAGATATTCAATGTTTGGGCATTTTTCTTGTTGCGACAGAAGCGCGCGAAACAGGAACCAAAATCAATGCCAAATTTCATCCTCATTCGAGCAATCTTCAGAGTTGTTCTCGGGCTCGGCGCCTGTTAAAAATTCACCGGTTTCGCGCTCGAAGATATGTAATCGCAATTTCATTACTACTATTAATGAAGAATCGGAAATATGTGAGGATAAAGGGCTGCAAGAGAATATGATGTGTATTTCTAAATGGAACGAGTTCCTGTATTCTTCTCCAGAAGCAAAGAGCGAAGAACAAGATTCCATTTTAGCGTGTGCAGGCTCGAAAACACCTTCGTTGGAAGATTCCTATTCACCAATTTTTCGGTGTCATTACGGTCGAAAGTCAAGCCCTTGCAGTTTTGCAACTACCGATAACAGTGCCGATACTTCAGATCAGTTAACTCCTGCCAAACAGGCGGAAGGAAGATTAGGTAGTAGCTGCAGTTCCGAAAGTGCTGGAAACAGTTTCGACGTGACACTCTTCAGATTTTGGACAAGAGAACCGCATCACGTGAACGGATATACTGTTTCTCCTCTACAGAATCATCCATTTCGTTTAGATTTACGTAAGGATATGGTAAGTGTCGCTTGTGGTACCGAAGACATCACACCAGATTCTGCCATTAACGTCGACGTCGTTATGGAAGAGAGACACGAAATTAATGCGGTGAATAAATGCCTATCCGAATGTGATTTAAATAAAAGTATTAACAAATATGGACAAAGAAAAACTTTAAGTGACGGAAGTCACCGAAAGGTTTTCACAAACTTGAAAAGAAATCTTTTAGAAGCTGATTCATCGATCCTAACGTGAAATATATTTTATGTATTATGTAAAGAATGTTTTAGTCATCCTATGTTACTGTTGTGAACATTGATATGTAGTCATAAATTTCATTAAATGTTGTCAATTCATATAAATGTGCCCGTCAATTTCTTGTTAGACACTGCTTCGTGAGGAATGTTAACAATTCAGAGAGCAATAGAAAGTGCTACATAACAATATCACACACTTTAGATAAAGCCAAGGAAACACAGGAATGATGTTGAATTAATCAATTAATGAGTGTCACCAAAAGGTATTTAGTGAAGTTATTTAAATTTAGTTTAAAAAATTTTTAATTTGAATAAAACTATTTACTCGGCTTCATTCTTTGAATGCATATGTGATTGTAATACATCAAAGATGAATAAAAATCGATACAAAATTATTTTAATTATTAATTATATGGAAATGTCGATAATTTCATAATTCACGTAAAACAATAATAATAGATTAGGTTTGTGTGTGTGTGTGTGTGCGCGCGCGCGCGCGTACAGAATTTGTTTTATTTACACTTACAAAGTTAGACCTGCACTACTGTACTAGTAGGCAAACCGAGAGAAAATGAAAACTTGTGCTTTGTTTTAAACACTGCCCTATGGGCCTCTTAGCAAGCCCATTATGGATTCGGCCACACCTACAATGGAGCGGGCGGGGCCGACATATTCGGTCAGACCACCCCCGAAAAATTACTGGGGGGTTTTCGACCCGTCCGGATTCGAGCTCGAGTCCCCAGAGCGTTAGGCTGCAACCTTAACCGCTCGGCCATCCGGCCTTAACTTAGTTGTGCTAAGGTATCGTGACGTCAAAGTCAACGAGTTTTCATGACGTTAGCGATTCTGATTACATATTTGATTACGTTTTAATTTGTTCGATGACTGCAAGATTCAGCATACAGCAATGTCTCAGACAGATATATGAATTTGTAGTCCAATTGCACACCAGATGATGCTATAAGGCTACCTTAAAATCGCTACACCAGTATCCAATAAGAAAATTTGAAGAGGTTCACTGTGTTTAAAATTTTAAATATCAATATATTTGTTGCTTTTGAGGCTACTGCAGGTCTTAACCTCGCAGTCAAAAACATTACGTTCTGTTGACAGAGTTTAAAAAAGTCCGGGTCATCGGGCTGAGGGAAGCAGGATTCTGTTTCCCTCAAATTGTTAATCTGGACCATTCTGGGCCCTTAGTCTCGAGTTTTTCGTGTTACAACTCCCAACGTGTTGAAGGTGTCACGTGGTACCATCTCACACTCTGATGTCAAATCGGTAGTCTCCCGTCTCACGTGCTTTCCCATCTCACCATGCAAGTTGCTACTCACGTTGAGTCGAGCATGTGAGATCGCTAAACGCAGAGCCCTACCATAGGGCGAACGGAGCAGCCGCTCCAGGCGCTAAGTCTTAGGGAGCGCCTCAGTGTTAAAGAAAATTAAAGGGTATAACTTAGGGGCAACCAAGGGGGGGCGCCATAATAGGATCTCGCTCTATTCTAAAACTTGTCTCGGGCCGGCACTGGCTACACGAAAGTGAAAATGGCCGACAAATACGCTATTTCGATGGCAATCGAAGCGTTAGAGAGTTGTTTAAGAAAGCAACGAATTTTTCGAACACGAGTTGATGTCATTTCTTTTTATGTGAAGTCAACACTAATAAAAAAAATTTTAATTCATAATTGATAAAATTATACAGCAAATTTTTCCAAAAATAAAAAGACGTATCTTATTGATCAAAAAAGAGAATTATAATGATAATAATTTATACATATAATTTACTAAGAGCATAGACACTATTTTCTTCTAATTATGTGAAACCGTGCTTTGAAATTCGTTTCTGCTTCTAACACAATAAAGTGCTATAAATTAATGACTTCTGATTAATCTTAATATAGTGTCTATGCTTTCCTTTCCGCTTCTAACACAATAGTGCTATAAATTAAGACACTTGGTGGTTTTTCTCATCTTTATTTAGTTGAGACGTGTGAAAAAATTACACGTTTCAGGCTCATAAGCCCCGCCTCAGTCAACTGTGCAACTGGTTTTTCTCATCTTTATTTAGTTAAAAGATAAATTATTAAAATATAATTAAAAGAAAACAAGAAGTTATAACATTGAAACGGCGGAAATCATCAAATTGAAAGATGAAGGTAGTACCACATCAAAACAGCGCATACAAGGAGAAAATACAAGGTGTCAGATATGCAAATTCATATTATATTGTGGATGCGCATCAAAGGAAGTACAAAACTGACTTATGAGTGGAAAGTATAATCAATTGTGTACCACTTTAGTAATAGTTGTATCCAAGTTGGCTGGAAATGTTAAGAATAAGCTGATGTTACTTTAATTTATAAAACTTTTGCACAGTTGACTGAGGCGGGGCTTATGAGCCCGAAACGTGTAATTTTTTCACACGTCTCAACTAAATAAAGATGAGAAAAACCACCAAGTGTCTTAATTTATAGCACTATTGTGTTAGAAGCGGAAAGGAAAGCATAGACACTATATTAAGATTAATCAGAAGTGTTAAGTTCTGGTTAATAAATAATCTTAATAAACAAAACAATTTAATAAATAGATCAAGGAAGAAGAGAATTTGAAAAAAGGATTAAATTAAAATACTTTTTCCATTGCACAGCGGATTTTTTAGCTCCAATACACAATTTTTCAACTACTTCTCTCCACAAATCGAATTGTCTTTTTCTTGTAAATTCGTTGTCGAATTTTCCATTGTTTGTTTTCTTATTATTTTCTATATATGTTACTAATACTTCTTTTTGTTCTTCGTTTCTTTTTTAAAATAAAACATTGAAGGTTTCCATTTTGCTATAAGACAAAACTTTTAACTATAACACGTGTAAACTAATTCACGTGTATTTGTTTACAACTTGTTACAGTAAAGTTGATTGGTCGAATCCATATAGTCGCAAACCCAGATGCATTGTAAATAATCCCATCGTGCTTAACGACACACGTAAACTAATGAATATGACCTACTTCCGCTCGCCTTTCGAGTTCGCTCGATGGGTCTAACTCGAGACTACCGATTATGCGAATCACAGTAACACGAGTGAGTTCGATGACGTGAATTCGAGTACAACACGAAAAACTCGAGACTAAAGGTGCGACTATGCAGACGCGAATTTAGAGCGAGCGATTTAGTTTTCGCAAAGGAAAACCATGCACAAACGAGAAGCGAGAAATAACGCTAGCGAGAGCGAATTTCTGGTTCTCGCACATATCTGACAGGTTTTGATATTTATAGCGTCTCGCCTCTTGCCACATATTCTCGCTCGTTCGCGTCTGCATAGTCGCACCCTAAGACACAGGTGGTGTTGGGGATCATCGATACTTCAGAGCACATACACGATAGCCAGGCCCCGGACACCCCCGCCAAGCACAATTACAGTGGCGTCTTTGTCCGCTTCCAGAAACAGGTGTATTCCTCGCTCTAGAACCCCGATAATTCCTGTAACATTGGTTCCATGGGACTAAAAGGGCAGTTTATCAAGCTCATCTGGTTCGGTGAGGCCATTAATGGGACGACCGGTGAGAGATGGAGCCTGGCATATACATGATGGACTAACTGAAAAATTTCCCGGGGTTTTTCGAACCTTCCGCTCTGGGGATTCGTTCCTCAGTCCCCTTAAGAGGAAGGTTGAAAACTTCACTGCTCAGCCATCCAGCCATCACACCACTGTAGTGTGAATAGGGGGGGGGGGTCTATAATGTTAATAAGCCTCTTGTGCTGCGTTATATTGTGAACCAACCTAGAGGAAAAGAGCTCTCTGTGCGTGATACATAGATTTGATTAAGCTCACAGTGAGAAAGATGACGGTCGATATATTCGAGTCAATCCATTGATGAATATTTGAATTTATGCAGATCGATCCCGATACCTCAGAATTGGTTGGTTTGTGGGATAAGGCAACGCAACATATCCGTGATATATCAAGGAGAATGCTTTCCGGGAGGATTTTTTAGGAGAAATCGTCGCTATTTGGATATGACACGTGAAGAAAACTCATTCCATGCGACCATCTCGTTGGGCGCTAAACCACGACCAACTATCAATGTTCAGTGGTTTTATGAACTCGACCATTGGTGGGCAAATATTCAGACAAGTACTTTTATCCAAAAGAACGGCCGGATGGACGAAGCGTTAATCTATTAAGAAACGCGTTTATTTTACATTACTCCTTTACTTTGAAATAAATTCTTGTATATATGTATATATATATATATATACACATACACACATTTCTGAAATAAATATTAGATAGATGTCTAAACATATGTATTATCTGAGGCTTTACATCAATAATTGACTATTAAAAGGCGAAAATAGAGGTGTATTTCCGGAGACTCCTGGTTCAATTCTCGTTTGATGTATTCTTCAGAACTGACATATTAATACATCTTCACTACGAAGAGGTTAGTAAACAAAATCAATACACTATTGATAAACTTTAAAGCGATTTTTCATATAATTAAATCATTACAAGTTAATTAGGAATATAGGTAATTGCTATATTCAGCTTATCAAATTACATTAGTTATCCTCATTGATAAATCCATCGTTTTACGATTTTCTAAGGATGATAAGCTTATCAAGAGCGACAAGACTTTATCGCGCTTAGAATAACGTAAAAAACAGGATGTTTATCGTAATTAGAATTATCTATCTTTCACAATTAATATAATTTAAAGTCACTCATCCTTATCCGAGTTATTAATGAAATTCAAAAATTATAAACATTTCATTATCATGTTATACGGCTGGAAAGTCGGGATTCGTCAGAATTAACCAAAAGATCATTTAAATAAGAAGTTAACTAGCTCAAAAACTAATTCTCGATGGTCTTAAGTTGTTGTAGATAAACGACATCGCAATAAAAAAAATTATTATTTAAGGGCGGATGAACAGGTAGTAACAGTACTGGCCTGCTAATCTGAGGATCCGGATTCGATTTCCAGAGCCGTGTCTGTCCTCATTATGGATCTCACTGTATCTATAATGGTAAAGATAAAGCTATATTAAATCCTAATATAGCTGGTCAAGCAAGCCAATGACAAAACCCATTTCAAATGAGACAGGTTAATAAATAATTTTAACAATTCGTCTGGAACTAAAACAATTCCGATCAAACTTAAGGTAGCAACAAAGATCGAATCAGCCACTCTTATTCCTTCGTTTAAAAGGTAACTTCTTTTATTATTTTTATTTTAAAATTTAAGTAATTACGTAAAATATATCAATAATTAATGCCACCTGAAATTTAAAGCGATCGCTTAACCATAATTTATTTATTTATTTTTTCTAAATTAGAAAATTATGACCTGTTAATTTTTAAAATAAAATAAAATAAAAATAGTCAAATAGATCAATTTCATAACTGTTCAATACATTCTCCATAAATAGAAATCTACTTTTATTACTTCATACGTTATTAAGAAATCTTTGGTTTATGAAATAAAATACTTTAAAAGTGACATAACAATTGGAAATTCTATTTAAATTTTACTGACGTAATCAAATTTTATGACGCAAGTTATCGTTAGTTACCTCTCTCGTTACGTCACATCCGCATTAATAAAATAATAAGATTCGTAATGCTGCCATCTATCGAAGAAAGAAGAAATTACATAAATTCGTTTATAAAATTTAAATATTCTAAACTATAGAATTTCTAATAATGTATTAAATAATTATTTTATTTATTTTTATTGAATAGATATTTTAAGAAAATCATTAGTTTCGTTGGATTTATGTTAAAGATAAATTATTGCTTATGCCAAGAGATGGCGCTAGGATGCTTGAAAAATTACTGTAAACAGTAATGGCGGAAGTCGTGTGTTTTTGAGCGTCGTAGTTTACGGTTTTGTATCAGCGTTAGGATCGATTGTCAAACTATTCGAGGTACGGAATCTCGGAAAATGAATCAGTAATGGAAGGTACAAGTGTACATCGCGTTCATTTTCCAGAATCGGAAGACGTCTTCCGACACGATGCCGATATTCTTGTCTCTCCTATGAAAGACTCGACTATACACGTTCATCTTGGTTTTCTTCAGCTGCAGCACAAGTACGAGATAAAGTTCGGATTCGATAGCACCAAGCAAACAGGCCCCCTTGCCGTCAGAAACATGAATCCTCCCAACATTAACTTGCGTGTCAACGAATTGAGGCCCCTCTGTCCATCCGGAACTTCCTACGAAATAGTTCTAGAGATGCTGGCACATAAAGAAAAACTTCTGAAGGAGCAGATCCTGTTGGAGTCCTGCGACGATCCAGTGGAAACGGTCACACTGGTCCTGCATGCCAGGGTTCTGGGTAGAGGAAAGGGCACCCCGTTCTTAAAGACTGGGATCCGCTGCATAGGAGTGGAGACTGAAGATGAGTCGGAGCTGTCCGACTGGCAGGGATTTTGAATTTGAATCCTGCCTTCGCGTCGGAGTCCGTTCGTTTTTTTGGATCCTAATATATTTCTCGTCAGCTTTGTTTGAAATTAGGTTTTCTAATAAGAGTTTTCTTGTATTTAAATTTTTAAAAATGTTATTTCTATATTGTTAACACAGGATGTAATCACTTTCTCTGTGCATTTTATAATATCTTGATATTCATTTACACAGTCAATTCAATAAACAAATTCATCCATTAATTCTTAAGCCATTTCACCTTGGAAATTATACGGGAATGGATCGATTTGGAGTACCTCCGTCCGGCTGGAACGACCACGCCGAGAGCACCTGCCGAGTTTTGAATCATAGGTACGTCTTAGACTGTTGTTGGAAATGTTAAATGTTATACACTAAAGAGTTTACTCGTAGAGAATCTGCCTTTCGCTGATTCTGTATCCAAATATATACTTTTCAGATTACATATATTCCTTGATGTATCAATATAACCTTATACAAAATCTTGTTGTGTATTGATTGCAATAACATTTTTTATATAAATTGTTTTTATTAATGTTTACAATAAATTTCAAACTGCAAATTTTGTCTTCTGATGCACTGCATTCATTTCTATTTTTTTTTAAATGTAGACTATTATATTAATACAAATATTCTAAAAATACACTATATAGCAAATGTACAGAGTGATTCAAAAAGGACTTTTAATCAAAGACTTACAAATTGACTTGTGCATTAATTTATAGCAAAACATCAAATTTTTCTTGCCTAGTCCCACTACTAAATGGGTATCTGGATTTCTTAAAACGTTTCCTGGATTGGGCAGAGTGATAGAGGAATGGCTACCCCATTCCTAGATTTGATATTTCTTGATTTTTTCCTTCTGGAGTTTCATTAAAGACCTAGCATTTATTCTATCCCTAACTGTAAATCTTTCCGTGCTTAAAACTCAAATTGCAGTTTTGGTTACTGAAGTTCCACGGGAAATCAGGTTCGAGTGGGATGTCTACCTTATTGTAACAACACTTGCATTGAACCAAAATGACCATTTGAGGTATAGCTGGATGTATTTTGCTAGAAATTGGAGCCTCGACTGATTCTGTAAGCCTTCCAATGTTGTGGAGTCCTTCTTGAATCATGTATCAATCAATGAGATCTCAATGATATACAATTGCTAACATAATGTAATCTACTTGAATATCCAAATTATTAAATTTTATCAGAAGAATATCTAATATTAAAGTTTATATTAAAAAAAATATATTCAAAATTTCCAATGAAAGCATGGAGTAATGATATAGTAACAGTGGCATTACAAAATTATCATATAATTAAACCTTCATAACTAGTATCATACATCTTAGGAAATTTGCTTTGATAATTTATTTTGAACTTCTGGCAGAAACCTTGTGATGTAGTTTCAGAACTGTTCTTTGCATATCAAAAAATTAAAATTTAATTTTTAAATGAAGAAAACAAATATTTTTATCTTTTAAATGTTAAATCATATTACACATCTACATAATTACTGGAATGCTAAAAAATATTAAGTGACTCTGACCTTTTTTAGCATCAGTTACAGCAATTACATAGATGTATTATAATATGATTTGACATAATTCAAATGCTTTCAGGATAAACAAATAGCATATTTTTGGAGATATCTCAAAGATGACGTGGATAACATCTAGGGAAATTATATCAATATAAAATTTGAATTTGATTCATTACTGAACATTTCAGTGTTTAAAAAAAATAAATTCTAAAATTTAATTCATTATATTAGTATTGGAGTATAAAGGTAAGACACAAGCATAAATAAAATGTGGTAAATTATAAGAGTTGAGGAATAAAGCACCTTTATTTGCCGAAAAGTTGAACACTATTTGCAGATTTATTGACAAGCTATTGTATCAAAAAGTGCATAAAAAGCAAGAGCTATACATAAAAAAATATGTAGAATTAATGTACAGATATGAGAAATGCTATTGGTATGGCCACTGGCAACGGCTTGTTGGACGTTGCTAACACAAATTTGGATACCACTTGACTTTTTAGGGCATTTTGGATATAAGAATTTCAGGTGAGAGTTCTCTTAATAAAATATTCAAATGAACCTAAATAAAACTGTAAAATTCATACAATTTTTTATGATTAAATTTTATATTGTGTACAATTGATTATTATACAGGGTGATTCAATACACCGATTACAGTCACATTTGAACAATATATAAAACATACCTTGGTCGACTGCATCATCATGAAATAAATAAAAAATCATTCTGTTTGTGTTTCATACTTTTCATTTTATACAGAGATATTCCACATAATAAGGGTTTAGTGCCAAAAGAATCACCTTGTACTTTTCTAATTTTTCTGTGTTCTTAGTATTTTAAGCATAGTATTCTAAATTCCTAAAGAACATCATAAAGAATTTCAAATCTAAAATATCCCATACAATTAGAAATTAAATCTTTTCATCTGTTGATGAAGACAATGCTCATATTACATATGTTCAGCTTAGAATTTGTCTCTAAAAAATATACACTAAGTCCTTACTTACAAAATCGTTGAAATATCACCTAAATAAATGTATTTATGTAAGAATCTATATCCTAAAATACTGTACTAAATTAATTATTACTATATATACATATTTTAAGTAAACCTCTCTATAATGGTCACTTGGGAACCAAACAAAATTGTCTATTATAAAAAGAGATTTTGTGAAAATTAGCTTTAAATGTAACAGCTGAGAAACATAAGCTAAATAAATCTATTGCCAAATGCAAGCCTGAAAGGCTTACTTTTTTGGCTATATTAAAGCTACTTTAAGTCTAAGTTAATTTGTTTTATATTTGGCCAGATTAAGAGGAAACTTTTTGTACATTGATGTAACGTGACATGTAAAGAGGAAACTTTTTGTACTATTGATGTAAAGTGAACATTTAAATAAACATTTTTAAATCCTAATAAAGGAAAATAATATTTAAATTCTATTTAATTTACCCTTCAAATTTGCATAAATCATTTTATGCAAATTGAAATTAGAACAATTTACACAGAATTTTTAATACAAATTTATAGGTTATTAATTATTTTATTTACAATCTCTGTAAATTCGTACATTTAATTATAATAGATAACAGTTTTAATAAACCAACTGACTGATGGACACGAGAACTCAAGTTCCTCCTATCAAAATACTTTCAGATTTGTTAAGAGTTTTCTCTGTACAGGTCAAATGTACAGAACCGTCACTGAAATGTAAAAACTATTATTATTATAATTAACCATAATAATTAAATATTATGCTAATATAAGAGATAAGAAACATTTCTTGCAGTTTCCTGTTTCTAATAATATTTTATAACCAAATAAGATGTAAATGCTGCAGAAGTTTCTGAAGCAATCAATTCATCTTTCAGTAAATATGGAAAAGAACAACTTTTTCTTTTTTTACAAATAACAGGTTTATTTAGAACATATTAAATAAAATTTTTAAACTTTCAATTAATAAATTTTCATTTTAAAAACTGCTGATATCAGCAATGGCAAATTAAGAGTTATCACCAATTATCACCACTTTATCAACAAAAGACTAACATTTCATTCTTAAATTGCACCAATTATAACAGGCTCTCTGAATGCCAATGCCAGTCTGACAAGATAGGTCTTTTGCATTCTTTGCATATACTAGAATGGGTTTGTTTAATGTTTGGATTTGACTCTCAGTATCAAAAGTGAAATCTGAATGTCGATAAATAACTACTATACAAAACTTTGGTTTTGAATTTAGATTTAGTGTTCAGTACTGTACATTTATTGTTGAATGATTAAAAGTTAAAGATGAAAAATTAAAGAAAAAATACTTTACTGCAGCTACATGAGAACAATATATGTAATGTCAAATAATAGATAAAACAAATCATTATGAAATTTGAACTGTTATTAAAAAACTTATTGAAATATACAGAAATGTTTTTAATTAACTTTAATGAAAATATTGAAAATGAACATCTACATTACATATGTATTAATCTGTAGCTTTTTTTGCTAAATTGGCTTTTGTGCTTTCTTAGAGGTCACAAAAGCATTGCTTTCCTCAATTCTGTTTACTTAGTACAGGTTTTATGTCAAAAACAACAGCTTAACAAAGAGCTTCATTAGAGCTACATTTGCCATTTATTGAAATTTACCAACAGAGAGATCAGAATCACTTTGTGAAGATGTATGTATTTGTAATCAAAAAAGCACAATGCCCACAAATAAAATGGTGTGACAAAGATAAAATAAGGATTACAAACTGTTCTGTCGAAATGCCTGTTCACAGTTCATGGCTTTCACAGAGTGCCATTCTTTTAAAAGCAAGAAAAGCTTCCCATTGAGGATACCCTTAACAACAACAACAACAACAAAAAAAAAAGAAAAATTTAAACTGAGAAAAATTTTCTGGTTTCTAAGATAAAAATATTCTGTATTATAGAGGACAATCATTGTTCGTATAACAAGAGAAAAGAGAAATTCTCTCTCTTCTCTTTTCCATTCTTCCCATAAGCATTCGTACTTCAAAACATGCTTGCACTTTCTGTACCTGCAGTTTATAACTGAAGATAACTTCAAAGTTTTACTTTAACTATATACATTCTTGTTTATAAGAATTTAATTAATTTGAGAAGAGAATAAACTATTATCATCTTATACAGAAATCAAGAAAGATGACCTCAAAATTCTTTTTAAAAATTTTAGGAAAGTTTTAAATACACGTGTAAAGATTTTATATAATTTTAAGCAATAAATTACAATTCATCATTCAGATTTGATTAACTTATCAAAAGATAAAACTGAAATGATTATAATTAAAGCAAAAGAGAAAAGCAGACAAACTTTTCTCATTTACTAATCACATACTTCCATTTAGTTATGTGCAGTGTTGTGCACTAAACCTATTTAATATTGTTTTTCCTCCTGTTTGCTGTTCTCATGAAGTACAGACTGGCTTATAATGTTACTAGTGCTTTCTAAATTGACCTTCTAAATGAATATTTAGAGTAACTGAGTTGAGACAAAGCATCTTCTGAAAGAAATTCATCAAGGCACAAAATTACAGTGCTACATTTTATATGTATATACTATGGACCATAATCCAAACTGTTCTACTTCTGGTTACTGTACTTTGCATTGAGTTAGACTAACAAGGAGACCCTATGACTTTGGGGAAATGGATTTTGATGATCTTTGGTGTAGAGGTAGTACACCATGTGAGTGTACTAACTGTAAAATACTAAAGTGCAACACTCAAATATAATTGAGAAAAACGAACTTAAAGTTTTCTTTAACACTTTATATATAAGTTACGCGTACTTTCACTTGAGTGTGCTGTGGCACGAGTGGTAACACTCCTGACTCATATGCTTGCGTGCTTGGTTCGATTCTCTTGTGTATACTTTTTCCTTTTTTTTTATTCATAAATACTTATAATGTTTTTATTTATTTACTCATTCATTTATTTATTATTATTTATTGATTTTTGAATTTTTGTTTTGAATGTTTTTACCATAAGTATCATTCAGGATCATGTACTGTACAGTACATCTGACAATGATATGTAATTATACAATATTGCTTCAATATATTAAATTCGCTTTTTTCAATTATGTTTGAGTCTTGCACTTTAGTATTTTACATCACTACGCTGCTTCAATACATCACTGTATATGAGTTATCATCAACAGTTTTTTTGTCACAACGTGAAGAACTTGCTTCTTTTGATGACATTTTTTTAATTATAAAATAATTATTCAAAATAAATTTCACTGCACAAATACATCTATTTATGTCGAAATTCAGAAACGAACTGTTAAAGAGTGAGTGAAAAAGACTATAGACCCATGTTCAAACCTGGCATAAGTAGCTCCCTCTCAACTTGACAAAGGTGGGTTTTCAAAGTAAAAATATTAGACTTGGAGCTATGTAACTTGCCCGAGTTTTCTCGGGTTATGGGCTTAAGTTATATAATATATTAAAATAAATAAATATAAATGAATGAATGAGTAAATAAATACATTATAAGTATTTATGAATAAGAAAAAAAGGAAAAACAGTATACACAAGAGAATCGAACCTGAGGATGCAAGCGTATGAGTCAGAAGTGTTACCGCTCACGCCACAGCACACTCAAGTGGAAGTACATGTAACTTATACATAAAGTGTTAAAGAAAACTTTAAGTTCGTTTTTCTCGATTATTTTTAAGTGTTGCACTTAAAAATACTAAAGTGTTGCACTTTAGTATTTTACAGGTAGTACATTCACATGGTGTACTACCGCTACACCAAAGATCATCAAAATCCGTTTCCCCAAAGCCGTAGGGTCTACTTGTAAAATTAAATTAACTTTGATATAGCTAGAAAAGAATGAAAACATAAGTGTAAATTTATGTTTTCATTTATGTTTGGCCATATTTCAAGAAAAGTAGGTCATATACTTTCCAATCTAAAAGAAAAAATACTTTTTAGAACATTTTTTTTGGGGGGAAGGAAAAAACTGTTTGTCCATGGCAAATAGAGGAAATGTTTATTTCTATAAGCATGAAGCTTTTTAGAAATATGTAAGACAACTGTTCAAAGAGGAGTTTGTTTTCTATCATATTTAGACAAAGATTATTTAAACTTAGTCACAAAGAAGATCAAGTCCACATAATACAAAATTATTTACTTAAAGAGAACAAACTTTTTTAATGCCATTTTATCTGGAGTTTATAGATAGATAAATTCCAGCAGAGAACAACTTTCTTCTTGTTGTCAGTCAGTTGTTGTACACCTGCTAAGCACAATAGTTCTACAGACTTGACAATTTTGGAGAGTTATTCTGGTTTTGAACACATGGCATTTCTCCCATCCTATTAATTTGCTAAAGTTCTTTTTGTAGAAAAACCAACTGGGTTTTGGCCATTTGTAGCTACAGTGCTTTTTATTTAGAACTCATTTAAATACAAAATATTTTAAAAATCTTACAAGTGCAATTCTGGTTGGATGCATAGAGAGCCTCTGGACATTCCATGATTCCCATCTGTTCATACTTATTAAAATTAAAACAATACACTTGAGTCAGGTAGCACTGCATTGGCCTTGTCACACAGATCATTTTTGTGCAAAAAAACTGTGTACATTTTTGCATAGGTATTCATAGCTTTGCCACTCTACAATTATAAAGTCAGCTATTTATTTGTTATCCAGATACTTAGTTACCATGCTTATTTGTTTCTTATTAAATACTCCTTAGTAATTAATTTATCTATAGTTATTATCTTGACAAGTCTACAAATCTCAGAAAAACCTCAATTATCACTCTGGGGAACAACCCCAAAAATTTGTCATGGGCAGTCTGTTCTGGATATACTGGGCCTGTCCCTCAGCAAACCTGTGATGGATAAGAGAAAACAAACTCCATTGGTGCCAATAGGGCAGAGAGTTAAAAAATGAAAAAGTTTTGGTTCTCCTGATTTTGGGAAATATTGATTTGCAACACACTGGAAGTAGAAGAGCAGAGACTACTATTTTTTCTTCCAGTGTTTGTAGAAATAGATTATATACTGTTGGAAATGAATTATGATTATAAACTTCAGAATAAGTACGATTATAATAATAATTTATTTTTCTATGCTATTGTTATTATGGGACACTAACTTTTAATGGTAAGATAACAATTAAAACACTACTAAAAGCTGGAATATAATATAACAACTCACAGACCTTCTGCACTTATACATTTCCATAAATCAAAAGAATAACCTGATGAAGGTCTCGGAAAGTGATTGACTCCAAAATGTATACTTTTCCTATGTAAACAATTATAAAATAAATTTATTCTCAAATAATTATATCAACAATCAAGACAAATATAAGAATCATACTATAGTGTCCAATATCACTATGGTTGCATCAAAAATTTTGAAAATGATTTAAAGACAGATTCTGTAAAGGAAAGATTTGGAAAGCAGGATTCTGATACATAACAAGCTACTCTTCCAATTGCAGTATGATTAAACGTCAGCTTAAAACAAAAGACATCTTTCCAGCATTGCATAAGTGCATGCTTTCTCCAGTGCTAAAATAACCAATGGGAATCAATTTAAAATGTTTTAGCATAACATAAAAATAGTCTCTGACTGTAAAGGATAATGATAACATTGCAGAAACTGTTACGATATGACAAAATGTGACATTTATTTTGTGATTTTAAACAAAACACCACACAACAAACCAATTTTACTGTGGACTAATTGACATAAACGTTAAAAATGTTCCACATATTTCCAGTAACAAAAATGTCACCAAACTTCTAAATTACGACCCAGTACTACCAGTATTACGACCCAGTACTACCAGACCCAGTATTGCAGTAATCAGACAATTCATACTGTTATCTGGGTTTATAGCTTTTTTTGTCAATGAATGTATGTGTGTGTGTGTATATATATATATATATATAATATATATATATACACACACACACACACACACACACACATTTTCTGTATTTTTTTCTTTGTATATTTGTGATATTTTTATATTTTTTAAAATTAAATACAGTTGGCCAAGTTTTAATTTATATATACTCGTATATATTTTTAACTCTCCACTCTGTGGGCGAAGTCCTCTTTTATCAAGCCCATTATGGTTTGGCAGACCCACAATGGGACAGCTGGTGATGAGGGCGGGGCATGACATTTCCAGACAAATCACCACCTGAAAAATTCCTGGGACTTTTTCAACCCATCTAGATTTGATTCCGGGTTCCCCAGGGTGGTAGGTTACCACCTTGACTGCTCAGCCATCCGGCTGTCTAATGAGCATATATTGATGAGCCATCTGGAAGCATGTTCATAAAAAAGGGATGTAAAAAATGTGCATAGCAAAATAAATATATGTTTTCCAGATTTTACTGTTTATTTGTAGAAAAATACTATTATTCTTGTTATATTCCTATTAACATTGAAACATTTGGTTTTGTTCATGCAAATTATGGAAGATGAGAGTATCAAAGCAGTTGTAATGGTGGCATAACAAAAAACCTTGTGCACCTCTGTTATATTGTATATTCAGCATAGAAACAATTTTAAAACTAAATTGCTTCTAGCCACCATCAAAAAGACATTTCCTGCATATAATTAAAATATATCTTTAAATGTGCATAAACATAAGAAATGTCACAAAATCTTTGACATACAGTCGACCCCCCTATAAGATCATTGATTTTTCTGTTTTATCTGAATTACATGTTGTACGAGTCACTTAGATTTTACAAATATGTGTGCCAGGCTGTGAATGGCTCACATATTTGTAAAATCTAAGTGACTCGTACAACATGTAATTCAGATAAAACGGAAAAATCAATGATCTTATAGGGGGGTCGACTGTATTTGGGATAAAATTTGTCCTTATGCAGGAAAGGTTAATATCAATTTAAAAAATAGTTTTAATAACTTACGTTTTGATTAGCGTATTAATGATGACTTCAGCATTATTAGGCACTTCCTTCAAAATTAACTAAAAATTATAGAATTATTATACATTCAATAAAGATATATATATATATATAAAATTTTTTTTTCTGTTAAATTTAGTACCTTTGCCAATAGTTTAAGTTCATTGCTATTTATAGAGCAACCAACTGGTCCTTCATAAAATTTCAAATGAATAAAATTCTGCAAATTAGATAAGGTAAAGATTTTTTCTTGTTTAGCAGGAATAGGCGTACTCTTTGAAATTAATGGAATTAAATCATCATTATTTGGATCCTGTTTACAAAACATATTGATGTAAGTATAGTTTACTTATATTTAACAAAAAATATTTTTATACTAACTTTCATATAAATAGTTTCACTTAAAGTCTCTATTTCAGATTCTGGTTCTGTTTCAAATTCTAATTTGTCTTCTGATACCAGAAGAGCTGCCTCAGCCGCTGCTCCCAAAGCAATGGCTTCATCAGATGAGATAGAATTTAGAATTTCTGCCGAACTAAACATGTTGCCAATTATCTGTATGAGACGAGGAGTTTTAGAAGTACCTCCAACTAAAATTACCTGTTAAAAGTCAAGAAATATGTTAAAGAAAAGTTTTTATTAAAAATATTAATTTTTTTTTACCAAATACATACTTTGTGAATATCTTCTTTATTCAATTTTGCTTTGTCAAGAGCATCTTGAATAGGTTCAATACATTCTTGTAACTTGTTGTTAATAAGAGATTCAAATCGTCCTCTTATAAAAAATTAATTTATTTTAAAATGATCCAGATTTTAAATAAAATAACTTAATTTTATCATTCTTTCAATAATATTGATATATAAATATCTTGTTACTACCTTCCTATATTTACAGTAAAATCAATTCCATCATATAAAGATTCGACAGAGCACTGAGCTGAGGTCATGTTTGTCAAAATATTTTTGCATGTTTCGGCAGCAGAATGCAGCTTGTATACTGAACGTTTACTTTCTTTGATGTTAACTTTGTATTGTCTACAAAATAAGATTAACAAAATAAATGTTAAAAAAGATATTTAGAATCATTTAAATTAACAGTACTATACTATTAATATGTAAAAAGCATTCAAAAATCACAGAATAAAAATATATATATAAGAAGAGCATACTTAAAAGTAAACCTGAAATTTATTTATATATTCCTCAGAAGTGAAATCACACCACAACAAAGGAATGCATATAGCCAAATGCAATTTCAGGACTATAGAGGTGACAGAGATATGCAAATGATTAAAATAACAAAGATATGCAAAAGACACCTGTTTATACAGTAATGAATATGGTCCCCTTGGGCAGCTATATAGCAAAGGATCATATCAATAAGGCTATTATCAATAATCTATATCAATAAGGCAATTAATGGTTGCCTGAGGTATCTCTACCAAGCTGTGTCTACTGTGACAAGCATATTGTCTACAGCAGTGGTTCTCAACTAGGGGTACATGTTGAGAACCACTGCTGTACGAGCATAAATCGAAGGGGTACATCTAACTTTCATTATAAAATGGCATATGTTAATCAATTTGCTGTAAATTATTAACACTTCTTGTGTTATTATTTAATAAGTATATTTTATATAGATAGCTGAAATGTATTTATTTATACCACTATTCTAGTTAGTTAGAGTTTTTTATGGCACTCAGTTATAAACTGAGTGCCATAAAAAACTCTAACTAGACCAGTGACTCTAACTAGACTAGGGCTGTATACATCTAACACAGTAATTATAAAATTTACATACAAAAATATAAGGGGTACTTGAGAAAAAACTAATGGGCTAATATGGTACATCAACAAAAAAGGTTGAGAACCACTGGTCTATAGTGGTTCTCAACCTTTTTTGTTGTGTATGTGGTAGTGAGGGCTGTCCGAAGCCTATGAAGTTATACCCCATAACAGTATATGGTGGTGGACCCTGGTGCACATCATATCAGATGAGGTCCCGCAGGTGTTCAATGGGAGCTATCCAGTGAGGCTGCCAACCTGGGAAAGATGTGAGTTCTGTTCAGGCTGGTGACAGTTCACCATACAACATGCAATCAGGCATTGTCTTGCTGGAACACTGTGTTGGGTCTGGCCTGCATCAGTGGCTGAACAATTTGTGTGACGTACTGGTCCAATGTTAGGGTACCAGAAATGTACACCAGGGCTGTCTGTTGATTGAACATGATGCCTCCTCAAACCACAATGTCTGATGTGGGCTGGTGTGATGCTTGGTGAAAAGGTCTGGCACTTAGCATTCCTTGGAATACCGCCACATCCATCACGGCTACCATTCCCCCACAGACAGAAGTCAGATTCATCTGTAAACAATACCCGATGCCATTTTGTAGTCCAGTTGTAATGACACCAACACCATGGTTGCTGGATGCTGTGTATATAGCCCAACTTCATGCAACCTGTTGCAAATGGTTTGTGTGGACTATTGATGGCAACAGGCAGTTTCAGATGTCACATATTATGGCAAATGGATCCCGAAGGGCCATTCAGCAAATCTCTAGTCTGTACACTCTGTGCACTGGTCTGATCCACTCCCTCTTTGATGTGTTCGCAGATGTTCCTGCATCCATTGTGTCACACATTGCTGGATGGTACGCACATCGTGCCCATCACACATGGCAACTGCATGCATTGACAAACTGAGGTCATGCAGCTCCATGATATGATCTCATTCCCCAGCTGTTAACTGGCAGTATTCAATTCGCTGTCATCTCTGAGGCATTTTCTATGCTTCTGTTGTAAACCGTTACTGATAGCATTTATGGCCTGAGCTGGCTGCTGGTCTTTATAGCCTGAAATGAAGGTCCTAGAATATAAGGTTACCCCATAAAGCTGGTTTAGCCACTCCCTGCCAGATTCCAGATATATGTCATCTGTAGTCAAGCAACTACTTCAAAACAGTTAGCGAGGAAAGAAAGTTTTGGAATTTCACTATTTTTGTTACTTTGTTGAGAATTTTTAGACTCTTACTCTTCAAAGGTAAATATATCTATCATTATTACTATTATTAAAAATAATTATGTTGATAATTATATCAATAAATTGTACAAAAGTAACAAAAGTGTTCCTAGAAACGTTTGATATTCTGTTGTAATCTTTACACTTGGTTCTGTAGAAATTACAAAATATGATTACGGATAATACATATTTTTTACTAAAATATTTTAAAATACTAAGGATAGTTTTTTACATGGATAAAAATAGTATCTGCATGATGAAATGATGACTACAAATAACAAGCTGGCTCCTTAACAGGACAGTAACACTTTTAAGATGAGAAGTAAAAGAAAAATATTGTTTATTAGTAATTAATATAACTTTTTAAAAATATGCATATTTACATNTATAATAATTTTTATGTAAGAAGTGTTAATACTACTTTTTCTTTGTAGAAAAGGGCTGGCAGAATTACAATTTAATAAAAAGTAAAATACATCCGGATACGAGTCCAATTTTGCTTGCCATGTCCAATCACCATTTTCAACTATTTCCGTTGCATTGTCACCTGAGGACATTTTAAACTGTTTTGCATATTTGTGCAGAGGCATAGCCTCTAAAGAAATGTCTGCAATGGAAATAGTTGTTCCTGGTGATTGAACATGGCAAGCAAAATTGGACTCGTATCCAGATGTATTTTACTTTTTATTAAACTACTTTTTCTATTTCAGAATATTATATCTTGATTAGATATATTTGGGAAAATAAAAAATAAATAGCTAAATTTTATTATCATCATTATTTATTTGTTTAATAATTTTTATGTAAGAAATGTTAATACTACTTTTTTCTACTTCAGAATATTATATCTTGATTAGATTTATTTGGGAAAATTAAAAATAAATAGCTAAATTTTATTATCATCATTATTTTTATTGGATCTTTAGGAAATCTAAAATAACCAACTGTCCTGTTTAATAACTTTGTGTTATGATAGCTGTTATTACAAGTTGCAACAACACATGATGCTCCTGGCATCTAAAAATAATAAGAAGAAAATGGATTCATAATTGTAAAAGAAAAGATAAATTCAATCTTGATTCTTGTCATATTCACCATGATCATTTCACAGAAAACAATTTTGAAAGAAATTTAAAAGCTGAGTTATTAAGTTTATTGGCAAAACCTAAACTAAAGAAAACTTTACTACCGACAGTAAATTTAGGAAATATAGAAAATGAAAATATTAATCAGTGAAATTAAAGAAAGAATCATTTATTAAAAAGAAATAGAAAAAAACCAACAGGAAAACTTTTAGATGTAAATAAACGAGATAAACCAGAAGAATCTCTTAAATGTAATGACTGTAAAACTTTAGATCTTAATTTAAAACTGTAATAACAATAGAAAATTTTAAAAAGTTTGTACCTGATTTCTTTTAATTTTGTTTCTATGTAACACTTAATTTGTATATATTGATATTAAAAATATGTTTATAACATAAAAAATTGTTCTTTTGACAAAGTTATTTTTGTATATGTATGAGTAAATAATATCATTTTTGGTACATGAATATTAAAAATTAAAAAAATAGACCAATATAATTTTTAGTTTTAAAAAAGAAGTCATTTGATGATATAAAATAAATTAATTCATTTATATATAAATCACCTACTTAGGATTTACCAAAATTAATCTTTTAAGAAACTATTATTGTTATATCATCATAAAATAGATAAAATCGATTTCATTTACAAAGTAGAAAAATGCATTTTAATTTCAACTTTACACGTAAAAATTACGAAGATTTGCTCAATATTCCAGATTTTCCTTATTTATAATCCATTTTTATTTATATTTAATTAAGTAAGAATTGTAATTAATAAAATTTTAGCATGTAATTAAAGCTATGAGCCTCTGATCGGTAATGTTTTTACCATAAGGACATAGTAAGATGTTTCGTTTTCGACTATGAATGACATCAAATAAGCAACCAATGAGAAGCGTTTCTTCTCTATGAAGCAACCTTATAATCTAGGATCTTGGACTGAAACTGGGTACCACATGACCTGATGCATGCATAAACTTAATCATTTGCATTTCTTTGTTACCTCTATCAGTCTTGCAATTTGCATTTGGCTACACACATTCCTTTGTGGTGTTGTGATTTCACTTTTGAGGAATGTAAGCACCTTTGGCAAGTTCATGTCTTTATTATTGTTATTAGAAAGTTGATGGCCAAATGACTGAGGCAATAAAGCTACCAGCCTGCCGCTCCAGGGACCAAGTTTGAATCTTGGCCTGCTCAGAAATTTTCATGGGTGATCCAGATATGTTAGGCCTGTCCCTCTCAAGCCTGTAGGCTTGGCCAAACCAATAAGGTTCAAGGAAAAAGGCCTTTTAGTGCCTATCCATAACCTATTTAAAAAATTCCAATGAGTTGCTTAACTTTCTTGGCAACATTTAAAAATTTGGTACTGCCATCTGTTATGTTGTTTTATTAAAAAACATTTTTATATTTTTAATTATCATAAAATGGCAAAAAGATTAATTTTGAGGGTAAGAATGAGTTTTATAAAAAATTGTAAATGCTAATAATGAGTAAAATTGTCATTATATCCAACCCTACTCAAGATGCCATATTTTTGAGTGTATTTTTGTGGATTGACCAGCCCAATACATAGACCTGGGAGAGACCAGCATGCCAGAAATTCTGGAATTAACAGCATGCTGGTTAAACTGTGACTAAAAAGTAAAAGTAATAAGATTAACAAAATTAGCTGTTAGATAAATGTTAAATAAAACATTCTTCCAAGTACAATAAAATAATTTGTATAATTTGAATGACTTAAAATCAGGATGAGAGTTTTCATTTACAGGACAATAAAACAATTAATGACAATTAATGGCTTATTGACATTAGTAGTAGTAAGTTAGTGTAGGCTGCACTAACAATCTACCTTGACCTTAAAAATAACACCTTCCTCTCAAATTTCACACAAAGATGTTAATCAGTATAAGTTGAGATTTCTGAAATTTAATATGTTTATTTTTGCACTTTTGGATCAAATTACAATAAAATAAACCTAAGAAAAGCACTTTTGGCATTCCACAAGTATTTTACATCTTTAGGAAGACTATGAAATGCAGAAATTAAACATATAATTGTAGTTTTTGATGTAATACTGACAGTTTTATAGTTTTGCAATAAAAATTCTTTCCTTTTTATGTGACTTAACTTGTTTGTTTTTTCATGTGCACTCTAGAAAGTGATGTACAACCTCAGTTAAACCAGCATGGTGGTTTCCATCATACAAAAATATATGATTTCATAGTCTCCCAGATAAGAGGATTGTTCAATAAGTCCTTAGAAAATCCAATAGATGGTGTTCGTAGCCTCAAAAATGGCACATTTTTTGTAAGCATCTTGTCTCACTAGACAGTTGTAAAAGTCTCAGTCATATCCATCACATGGTTTAATTTTTATTGTGGATTGAAGCAAGAAACTTTTGTTTATTTAGAAAAATGAAAAAAAGTGAGTTTCAAGCGGTTATTAAACACTTATATTTAAAAGGCTTACACCAAAAGAGATCAAAGCTGAGTTGGATGAAGTTCATGGCACATCTGCTCCTGTGTTTGCAACTGTTTACAATTGGATAAATGAGTTCAAATGTGGTCATACATCCACAAAAGATGAATGTCGTTCGGGACGTCCAGTGGAAGTGACTATTCCTGAAATGATTGACAAAATCCACAATATGGTTTTGAGTGATTGACAAGTCAAAGTGCGTGAAATAGTTGAGGCCACAGGCATATCACAAGGTACAGTATTTTCAATTTTGCACAAAAAATTTGGTGTGAAAATAATCTCGGCAAGATGGGTGCCGCGTTTGCTCTCAGTGGAGAATAAACGTAATCGTGTGGTCGACTCTGAGGCAATTTTGGCACTTTTTCGTCGCAATCCTGACGAGTTTCTGCGTCGATACATACCTGTGGACGAAACATGGATACACTATTATACTCCAGAGACCAAAGAACAGTCAAAACAGTGGGTTTTTGAAGGCAAAAGGGCTCCAAAGAAGGCAAAGACAGTGAAATCGGCTGGGAAGGTGATGGCCACAGTTTTTTGGGATACACGCGGAATCATCTACACTGATTACTTGAAAAAAGGAAAAACAATAACTGAACAATAACTGGAGAGTATTATGCATCATTATTGCACCGGTTGAGCGAAGAAATCAAGAAAAATGTCCTCATTTGAAAAAGAAAAAGATCCTCTTCTATCAAGACAATGCACGGATGCACACCTGTGCAGTTTCGATGGCCAAAATCATGGAATTAAAGTTCGAATTATTACCACATCCACCAGATTTGGCCCTGTGACTTTTTTTATTTCCAAACTTAAAAAAATGGCTTGGTGGACAACGATTCACGACAAACGAGATGGTCATCACCCAAACAGATGCCTATTTTGAGGACCTTCCGAAATCTTACTTTTTAGATGGCTTAAAAAAGATGGAGAAATGCTTGGAAAAGTGTATAGAGCTTAAAGGAGATTATGTTGAAAAATTAAAAAAAATCCACCTAAAATAATTTGTTTTTCTATCTTTTTCTAAGGACTTATTGAACGACCCTCGTAGACCAACATACTGGACAATCTGTGAAAATATGGTATGATACATGACACCCTTTCTCTCTCCAGCCCATCGACATTTAACCATCAAAATTAGCATCAACCCCTAATACACAAACATCTTTGAAAAATTTTAGAAATTTTTGACAAAAAGTACAGGAGTTATTAAGTTTTAAAGAGGGTGAACAAAACAGTGCCCCCCCACACATACACACTGCCATCCATATACAGAGAAAAAAACTTCCAATTTTTTTTTCATTTCTCAAAGCTTCAAGGGCCCGAGGCCAAAAATCTTGGTGAGGTCATTTTTTGACCAATTACCATACTTTGCCTCTGATATATATAACAGAGCCAGGAAAGTAAAACAAGCAGGAAAGCAATAATGTATTAATTACCATTTAATAAAATAATATTCAATAATAATCTTCAATTGTTTTAACATGTCCTTTTAATGTCAAAGTCAATAAAACCAAAATTTCCATTTACTGTAGCCTTATTTTTCTAATTCAAATTATTCAGTTCAATTAGAAGATGCTAAATTTACCAAAATTGCTTTTAAATAAATTTCAGTTTAGTTACAAGAACAAAAATCTTTCTTCACTTATAACAATAGTAATGCTTCAAAATTAAAACAAAATGTAATAAATGTATTATTTTAAACTGATTCAGTGGAACCTCACTTAATGAGCACATCTCATAATGAGTAATTTGCATAATGAGCAAAACATTGTAAAAAAATGATTTGCTTAATGAGCAACGTTTCACATAACGACTGACAAGGAGAGGGGAAGTCCTGGATTGTGCACATGCTACATCAGTCTGTGTTTAGTACTTTAGTGTTGCTTGTGATCATACATGTTTCCAAACTTGTGTTCAGACATATTACATATAAATATCTACAATCATAGTTCATTATATAATAAACATGCCAAACAATATGCCAAATTCTTGGGCTATGCAAAGGCTATAATTGAATATTAGAAATTAAATAATTTGACTAGAGGTAGGCAATTATTCTGCCATCTCATATTAAATTTAATGAATGATTCCAAATCAAATTTCCATTTTTTTTTTTTTGTTTGTTTTCTGGACATCAAATTTGCATTTCAGCTTGGTTCATTCCATGCTAGAAGAAAAGATAATGATGATTCACACTCCTTAATAATGTATATTATATACAGTAGAGCATCGATTATCCGATCCCGATCAACCGTCACATTGGTTAACTGGCCACGTTCTAGTCAGCAAATTCAAATGTGCGCTGGTGATGCGGCGCTATATTTGGCTATGTCTTGGTTACTTTAATATTATTTTCATTAAATTTTTGGTGGTTTTAGCTGGCAACACTGGCTCAACCATGAAAGGGAAGCCAGTATTTAAACAAGGCTTAATTTTCTAATTATGAGTGGTTGTTTGTTTTGTGAGCAATAAAATAATTTAAAAATAATTTTTAACGACACAATAGCAATGATTATTATTTAAAATAAAATTTTGTTAGGCTTAACATTGATGAAAATTCAATGCGAAGTAGGTTAATAGCATATACTAATTACATGGGATATACTAATATACTATACTAATAATGTATTTTACATACTTTTCAGTTATCCGACCAACCCCAGTCCCCAATTGAGTCGGATAATCGATGCTCTACTGTACTTTTCTTTGAATAAATGTTATACAAAAAATATTTGAGTATTTTTTTCGGCATGGAACGTATTTTACATTAACTTATATGGAAAAAATTGTTTCACTTAACAAGTGTTTTGCACTATGAGTAAGATTCTGGAATGAATTATGCTCATTAAGCAAGGTTCCACTGTACTTGAATTAATATATGCTTTAATCTAAAATAATACAAATTTTTTGGCTCTGATGTTTTTAATTATAAGAAAAGGTAATTAAACCATCTAAAATTCATAACTATTTATTATTATGTGAAAAAAACCTTAGAAATTCTTGTATGCAATATTCCACCAGTTCATTTGTGAAATGATTTCCACCAATAGAATTCTTTCTTACATAAGACAAAACTTGATATAATCCATTCATGACTGCAATTACAGTGACATCGACGGAGGTTCCACCTGCTCGATAAATGAGGTAGTGGCTGTCAAAACATGCAACTCTAAATTATTCTTAGAAAAACAATCTTAAAAACAATAAAATAAATTTAAAACATTAAAGTTATATTACCAAACAATATTTAAAGGTTTCTGAGTAATAGTGTAAGCAAGTAAAGCAGCAGAAGGTTCGCTAATGATCCTAAGAATCTTGAAACCAGCTTTAACAGCAATATCTCTGTAAAAGCATAAATAAAATTTAAAATTATAAGGTATAAAACTATAAAATACTGATCTGTTATAACTTAAAAAAAGAAAATAAATTATCTTAAAATGTTACATCTTGTATCAAAAATCAAATAAAACAAATTTTAATGGCTCTGTTACAAGAAAAATCTTTTGTACTAAACAGCCTGTGCTACAAAGCTTTATTGACTAAGATGATCCACAGAGTAACTGAGTCGTTGCTAACTCGCAGTCATCTCATGGGTCATCCTACACCAATTACTCATCTAGTACAGCCTCCTTCCTTCAGTTTACTCATGGCAATGCTTGTGTTGACTTTGACAGCATCCAATCACCAAGTTCTTTTTTAGTATTCTTTATAACTTGCCAACCCATACTAGTGCTCTGTCTTCTGGCATGTTAGCTGGCACATGATCAAAATAGGATAATCTTTGCATGGCAATCTTTACTTCCAATAATATTTTTGGTTTGTGTGATCAGGTATTTCTCTGTTTGTATCTATCTGAATGTCTGATTGTATTTAGAGTAGTGTTTATGTAACTATTTTCATATATCTATCATCTGAATCTTAACAGATATACAGGGTGGACCAATGAAAACGAAACGGCAGAGTTATTGTGTTTGTCCAAGCAAATCACTCAGACAGGTCGATTTTATGCTCAAGGGGGACATCTTCTGCAATAAAGTTTTTGCGATTCTGAATACAACAGACAACAAAAAATTTTAAAAACTCATTCATTTTTTTAATTAACTAAACAAACATTTATTTTGGAAAAAAAGTAACACAAACTATTAACAAATATAAAAAAAACCTTTTAAGCTGGACCGCACATGCAAGGAAAAAATATTTTTTCCTTGAATTTGGGTCAATTGTGTTAAATCAAAATAAGTTGTGTAAAAAAAGAATTAATTTTTTTTCTAATTTGTGTTAAATCAAAATCATGTAAAAGAAGTTTGTGTAAAACCAGAATTGGGTGTATATAATACTCCAGACTATAAGAGTTTTCATAAATGGTCATAACAAATTGATTGATTGATTGATTAAATAAATTTGAATGGCTCTAAATATTTTTATGTAAAATGGCAGTTATAACAATAGTATTATAGTTACTGCTGTATCTGTGCTATGCCAAGTTATTACGTAATACTAATATTTATCTAAATATTTTCAAATTTCCATCATTACAAGAGATTTTTAATATTTAAATACTCAGCAATATTCTGTTTTCTTAACATTTTTTGAATGATTTTTTACATAAATATCAAAATATCTGTTAAGCCCTAATTACTCTGATCACCCTAATTAATCAGGTTATTATTACGCCATAATTAATAATTAGAAACTAAGTAATTTGATACTAGAGGTAGATGTTAGTTTCTAATTATTAATCATTCAAAAAATGTTAAGAAAACAGAATATTGCTGAGTATTTAAATATTAAAAATCTCTTTAATGATGGAAATTTGAAAATATTTAGATAAATATTAATATTACATAATAACTTGGCATAGCACAGATACAGTAGTAACTATAGTACTATTGTTATAACTGCCATTTTACATAAAAATATTTAGAGTCATTAAAATTTATATAATCAATCAATCAATCAGTTTGTTATATGACCATTTATGAAAACTCCTATAGTCTGGGATACATAACATATAGATAACAAGCAACTATTTATTGTGACATCATCAAATGCCAGGTTGCAATTTTTAATCATATTTTTAATTTATTTAATTTAAAATATATACTTTCCATCTAAAATTAGAACTGTAGTGTCTTGTCCCTGTACATCATACTTTTTCATTAGTAATAGAGTCATGCTGGTCATCTAACTCCTTTCAGCGGAAAAATTTTGAATTGAAACAATGTGACTTTCAGCTTGCTTCGGAATTTCATATATAGTTAATTGGGGCCTCCTGCCCCTAAGCTTTCTATATCTGATCTTGGCTTTCATGTATCTAACTCTGTTCTCAAGATTAAAGAAGGACAGACAACAGTGGAAATTTATAGGTCTACAATTTCTTCAAATTGCAGCCCAATTACAAAAACATTTTATAAAGAATGTTTGTATATCTTGTTATTAAATATTAACTAGCTGAGGCTTTGCTCAGGCAAATGATATTAACAGTACTCATATGAAATACACACAAATGAAAATGCATATATGGGAAAAACAATACAGACTTATAATATAATAGAACCAAACAAAAACAATTTTACATAGAAATTTACTCTAAATACATTCTATGACCCAAGAAGGATTTTGCTGTTGCTCATATGATACTTGAACAAACAGACACAGTGATGTGAATTCAAAAGTAGCCTTCCCAGTACTATTCTCAATACACGTACAAAGTTTCTAAGAAATTGATTCAACTGTTCTCATGCAATATTTGAACAAATGGACAGACAAAAAGACAGATGTAAATTCTATGTATATACAGTAGATTAGTTATTAAAAGTTTAAGAGTAAATTCACTGAGTCCAAAGATAACTCTTTTGTTATTACAAAATAAAAAGAATACTCCAAATCACAGGTCACTAAAACATAATCTGAAGTCAAACAACCATTCGCTCTATAATTTGAACATGTAAAAATTACCAGAATAATCCTATCTCATTAAACCATTTAAAATGTAAGGTTGCTCATCAAAAACAATATTAACTAGATTATTACCTCTTTGGTAAACTATTTTATGCAATGATTGTCTAGGAGAAAAGAATTTGATCCTTGAACTTTATATGACATGTCAATATTTCTTCTTAAATTTAAATCTTCAGATTATATATGGATATTCATTTATATCTTCTACTGACTGAGTAACAAAATACAAAACCCTATCATCATCTCTATATGGAAGGATAAAGAAAAAACAAAAATACATTCAAAGATATTTATCAAAATTAAAAAGAATTACAGAATGTGATTCAAAGCAAAATGGGATTCTCTCTTCTATCTTTCATATACTAAGCTCTACAAAAGCAGAAGTATCTCAACTGAAAATAGCTTCTTTCCCACTCTTATTGAACTTTTAGAAACTACAGGTTTGATTTTACACAAATTACAGGAATAATTTATAAGTTTAAGTGTAATCATCATTTGTGACATCTAAATTGTACAAATTTTTTCCAATAGAGACTGCATGAAGTATATATGGTTGGCAGCCATTTTGTTTTGCTTTACAATAGTGCTCTGTTTTTTTGTTTTGTTAATAATTACAATATGTACCACCAGAAAAGAATTTAAAACTTTCTTTAACCAATTCTAAAAACCAATTTCTAGACTGAATGCAGAGTAACATTGCTACACTAACAGATGAAATGCAAGAATGGTTGATTCTACTTGCAAATGAACCCTTACAACATTATAGACAAATCATAAAAAGAGAATAAAGTATTTTACACCCATTCCACTATTCGACTTACAAATTAAGTATATCATACAAGAACAAATGTGTTAAATGTAGAACAAAGAGAAATGGCATGAATGGCTGCATAGAAAGTAAGTGACTGTGATGCTTGTTCTTGCAACTCTTTTTGAGGAAGAAGCATACCCTTATTCACAAACTTTCTTCAAAGCAACAGGAATAAAATCAAAAGTTTGGTAGAAGGGACTAACAAATTCAGATATTCCTGTCATTTGTCCAACTAATAGTAAAATTACATAGACTGCCACATACTCGTAATTCAGCATCAATAAAATGTGTGCTTTCAACATTTGGTAACATTCACAATAAGCTCTGTAACTGCCTTGGCATAAAGATACAAAGCTTGTATTTTGTTATATAATGTAAAGGAAGAACTGACATAGAATGGTAATCAATATCAATATGTGTATATGCTGCAGTTATCATCATGTACAATTTGTTTCAAGCACTCAATTAACACTGTGAGCATACTGTTTACATCCTTAGACTACTATTCTGTTTTCTTTTTTTGTTTAAAAGATATAATATTGGAAGCCCAAGCTTTTGATATTTTTGACATAATTTTTACAATTTAAACCATATTTTTGACATTAAAAATCCAACTTTTACTATACTATACTCTCACTAATTCAAACAAATTACAAATGCAAATAAATACATGTTTATGTATTTATTTGTAATCCTTAGAACAACAGGTCAATGTCCTAATTGCTGCAGCAATCTGACTGTTGATTAAATTGATTACATTAATGTTCAGACTAGTGAGCATAATAAAATATAGGAAATCCTCATTAATTCAAATTTGGATAGTTCAAAAGTTCAACAGTTACGAACTAATGAGATATTAGTTCATAACTGTTGTTCTGGCAGGGATATGGAAATTTACATGTTAAGATATTCGGTTAGTTCGAAATACAGATACTTCAAAGTTTAAAGTGAAAATTCTTCCCAAACTGTAACAGGCCAATTTTAACTTAATCACTTAGATTGAAATGCCTCCATACTATAAGAGAACAATACAACAATAACAACTGTAATCTGGTCATTATAGCTTTGCCTATACAGTAACACATTTTCAGATGTCACCTTATCCATGGACTACACTTTTTTCTCTTATCTCATAAAATATGGCTGGTTTTTGGGATTGCAAGATTAGACTACAAGTAGCAGATTGAGATATCTGCATGCTCCAGGCTACTACATTTGGTTAATTTAATAATTTTTGAGCCATTTTAAAAATAATGTGGGCTATATTTCAAGGAATTCTGCTTTATTTTTTATAAAAACCTATTTGTGAGGTTCTAACTGGACACATGCTGTTTACCTACAGTTTATTTATATTATTATTAATTAATGAAAATAACATTCTGTATATGTAACCATATTCTGTTTCCTTAATTACATGGCATTTGGCATATTGTACAAAAATATGTAAATTTTGAACAATTTGAAACTCAATAATTCAAAGTCATGATTATTTTCTACCTTGAATTTCAAACTAATGAGTATTTCCTGCAACTTTGAAAAAGCTGAAAATGTTAATTTGATGAAATTTTCATGCTAAATTATTAAGGTGACAGCTTCATTATTCTTGTGTAGTTTCAGTCAAAGATTATGTAAAGATCAGATGGATTTAACACTAGTTATCAAACAAACAGCCAGATAATTTATCAGGCTAATTAATTATTAAGTAATTTGGCTGGAAGTAGTTGGTTAAGCTTCTGTTTCTAATGTCAGTTGGTACCACAAGTAATCTGTATGGTTAATATCTAAATTAATTAATTGAGTTGGAAGCAAAGACTGGATGATGGTCTGGGTTGTGTAAGCAATAATGAATCTGTATGAGTTGTCCCACTTTGGGCTAATCTTTTCTTCTTGAATATTCTAAATTAAATTTTTTTTGTTTCTAATTATTATATATACAAGATGACAACTTAACTGCCTACCTCTAGCCAACTTAATAATTAATTAGTTAAGTAATCTAAAAAGAATCTAGCTGTTTGATATTTAAATTAATTATTGCTGGGTTGGTTTGCATATGTTATATATATATGTTAATACACAAATTACCAATTAAAGAAGTCTCTTTAATATCAATTATTGTAAAATAAATTAGAATCTAGATTTCTTTAATAGATAATTTACTATATTTCCTCAAATTAACACTAGGCCTTAAATTTGTGCTAGGGATTGTGATCCATGCAAATAACTTCCTGGGCACCAATTCAAGGAAATACAGTTACTCATATAATTGTGAGAGCCGAACTTGGTGAAATGGTTTGTTTAAATTTTTTTGTTGAAAAAAATTTTTTTTTTTTAGTTTAGAGAGATAAACAACAAACTGACATTTTAAGAATAATAAAATTGTTTTCCCACGGACTTATTTCCTGGTTGAAAATGATACATCGAATGTGTCACCCGGAATCTACAAAAAGAAGAAAGAAAACACTATTGGTCAGTGGTGGAAAATAATCCTAATAAGGCAGTGGAAAAAACCCAATGATGACCCCCTTTATAAAAAGGAGGGGTCGATGCATCAAAGACAGTCTCCAGAGTTGAGTGAACGGTAGGATTACATGTGTGGATTAGCCACTGCCAGTGACCATGCGGGAAGACAATCGCCTAAGAATCCTCATCGTTGGAAAGAACTGTGTGCCTTCTTGAGACTCAAGGACTAAATTTCCAACTATTCTACAACTTATATCAAGGTATTTATCCTCGTGCGAAGCAAATGTAAACTCTCTCTCTCTCATTAGTACTTGTTATTGGGAAAATAATAGCTACGTTAATTGTAATCCAACATGAATTGTATATAGCTAAAGTAGAATAATAAACGGGTATCATGTATATACAGAAAATCTGTAGAGTCTCTGTAGAAATCTGTAGTGTTCCTCTGATTCTCTCCTTCTGCCTCCATCCTGGAACCAAAGGTCCGTACATGCGATCGTTCACATAATGTAAATTAACGGCCACTATTCTTTTTCTGTGTCTGTTCACAAGACACAGTGGTGTCATCCTGACAGGGCGCTAAAGAGGTGCCGACCCTGCGGTCACATAATATGTAAATTTATCTTCAAAAAGATAAAAACACGATAAATTAATTATTCAATAATTTAGAAATCTGAAAATGGAATAGTGCAAGATTATAACCTACAGTTCTTATCTGTGAGGCATATCAAAATTATCCTATTTGAACAGCCTGGACCAACTGGCAGAAACTTTGTATGTTCTTTGGAACTTAGCATAAAGTTGCTATTGAGAATAAATCATACTGGAACACTCCTTTTGATGGAAAAAATAGATCTATTTTCTACGATTAACAACAGATATGCATTTCAGGTTCTATGCCCCTCTTCAGTCCTTATATTATTATGTAAATCGGTAAAACTAAAAATAATTGTAGTGACAACTGGAATAACTAATTATTAAAACTGCAAGGTAGAACAATTAAGATTGTAGAAATAAAATGATTTTGATTACATACTCCAAATCGATTATGGTGTGCACATAAAACAAACAAAAACAAATGCTTTTGAACTCCATACAAGTTCTTCATCAGGTTTTGTAATGATTCCCCAATGGATCTTCGTAAAAGCTTTTCTTTTATGTGCACACCGTAATGGTTTGAAGTACGTGATTATCTATATCCTAGTGTGGGGAGTGGTTGTTAAAAATTATTTTGGTTAAAACATATAAAAATTTGACCAATAAAAACTGGTTGAAAACAAGGTGTAAAGGGTTGACAGAAACTGTTTGTATTTAGTTATTTAATTTTCCAGTAATGACATTGACTTATCACACAAATCTATTCCAAATTCTAACTTTTTGTAATTTATGAAATTGAAAGTAAGATATCTTCATAAATAAATAAATAAATAAATTTAGTTAAGGAATTCTGATGGACAAATCTCTACTACAAAAATTAAGTAACATAATAGTTCACTTGCCAATATGTCAAAAATTTAATTCACTGCTGAAACTATCTTCTGCAAGTATGCACCACTTAACAATGAGATATATTCTGAGAAATATATTGAGAGAACATCAAATATTCTTAGAAAAATCCATATGATATAGTTTACTAGTTCATATAGATAAATGTAACACAATAATAAGTATTTATATAATTAAATATAGATGAAATACAGACAGTTACAAATTTTTCAGCTCCATTATAATCTTATGGGACCTCTGTCAAATACATGGTCCATTATTAAGTGGTGCATACTTGTTTATATCAAGACTTAACAAGTAATTATAAAATATTACCTAATCACTCTCTTTTGATTTTTTGATGTATGCAATGGAACAGTTAATACAGTACAATATTCTTCCTCTCCATCACTGTGGCTCTTTGCTATCTCTGTAAAATTTTAAATTCACATTGATATATATATATATAATGAGCCAATTCACATTCCATAAATAAACTCACCTAGTAATTTCTGAAAAATTAATAATAGGACATCTTGTGGAGAATAATAATGTATTTTTCCACCTTCTTCAATTTCATATTTTAGACCATTTTCATTCACAATTTTGTATTCTGTATCTATTTTATCAACATTTATAGAATCTTCATTGATTAAGAGCTGTTTTACACAACATATAGTAACCTGAGCATTTCTGGATAAATGGAGTTTGGCAGGTAAACCTACATTCTAATGAAAAAATGTGAGAAAGTTATTTGAAAAACATTGGAATTAAATAATTAATTAAAGATACATATAACTTACTTTTTCTCCACCTGCAAATGAAACAATTGCTGGTGTCACTCTATCTCCAGCATCATTAGCAAGAACTTTAAGATTTCCATCCTGAAAAATTAATGTAATATTTGGTTTTCTTGAATTTTTACATTACTGAAAAATTGAAACAAATTATGAGACCATTTGGTTATAGAAAACAAGTAGCTAGAATCATATATTAATTTGGTAGCTTCAACAAGATCATATTGTCACATTATGATGAAACAAACTATAATTTGATTCTAGAGCAATTAAGATCTGAATGATCATACCAAACATCAAATTTCCTTTAGAAATCAGAAAGATTTTGGCTGTTCTAAAATGATCTTTAATACTGTTTCTATACAGTACTTGGTAATCTGATATAGACGGGATTGGAAGAGTATCAAATTAAGCAGATTGCTTGATTATTGAAGGTAAGATGAATTTAATGGTTTAATTATTTAGGTGGGAACATTTATTTACATATTAGTACATTGTATTAATCAAAACATACATAAACTAGCAAGATAATATGAAAGGAGAAGAATCATTTTAGAGTTCTCAAATTAATTATTGATTCTTTTAAAACAATTTTTAATTGCTTCTGTCATTTTGTCATCTGAGCATACTGCCATTGCCAATAATCAGTGTTTCCAAGTTGATGGGAATCCACCAACTTGGCAACACTGATTTAGTGGGAAATCAAAGTGACTGCATGATTTTACTGAAAGGTAAGGTATTTTTGGTGAAAAATTTCAGAGACCAATTTTTATATTTATAAAGTAACACGTTTTAAGATACTTTTTTTTGAACATCCTAAGATAACAAACCTAACAATCTTTAATATCAAGCCAAGTTCAGGCTCAATATCCTGTCATGTTTACTGGAAAGATGCTCAAATTTAGTGGAAATCTTGTCTATGACTTGGCAATAGTTCTGGTAAAACCTGAGAATAGACTAGTGTTGGATTACTGGGTGTCAAACTATCAAATGACCAGATTACCAAGACTGTACTGCAAATACCAACATAAAAGTTCTGAAACTTTTATTAAAATATGCAGAATATTTTTTAATGATCTTTTCTCCAAAACATGATAAGAATCTTTGTTGCCATCATCAGATATAGCATTTTCAACATCTTAGCTGTAACCATAATGGATTTTGATTGTGTGAACAGACTGCCTAATGGGCCACCTTGTAAAATTCATCATGAAAACTTGGGCCAAAACTTTTGTTATTCTGTAGGTTACTGAAGTACATACAAACCTATCAACAAAAGTTTTGGTCTGTGAGATATAATATACAGTGATACCTCGGTTTTCGTCAATAATCCGTCCGAAAACAATCAGCAAAATCCGAGGCAATCATTTCCATATGAATCAATGTAAATCCAATTAATTCGTTGCAGACACTCCAAAATACATACCAAAAACACATTTTACAGAAAATAAATATTGTGTTTAATACTAAAAACAATAAGAAATTACACTATAATATATGGTTGCTGTCTATTGGTTCTTGTATATGAAACATCTCTTTAATCCAAAACTTGTTCGGAGACTGCCTCACAGCATTGCAGTTAGAAACATCTTTATTTTATGAAATTGGATTACAAATGCATTTCAAGTAATGTATTAGAAATACCGGATAAAACTTATTGTTGTAACATCCATAATGTTTCACTAAAGTATACTGGTATAGGCCTACTTTGAGTGTTTGGAAATAAAATTAATACTGAAGTGTTATGTATGCAATGCTGTGAGGCAGTCTACAGAACAAGTTTTGGATTAAAGAGACATTTCATATACAAGAATAAGAAATATAAAATGAATATAAAAAAGTAATGGAAAGAATAAATAAACATTTAACATAGCATTTAACATGGCATTTGAAGGGCTGCTGGCTCTAGAAACTCTTTGGTCCTATGATGAAGCTAAAAGGATAGGAAAGTAATGGAATTATTTGGCTAGATGTGCGGGGTAATACTCACACAACGAGAAACGTCACATTGAGCAGGTCACATTGAGCAAAACACGTGTGTTACCCTATGTTTTCGCAAAATTAGCAGATCACATGGGCACTCTGACGAAATCTGGGGCAACTGACAAAAACCAAGATAAATTTTTCGTGAAAAAAATCGACAATAACTGAAGTCAATGAAAACCAAGGTATTGCTATATTCTCAGATGAGTTGACTCATTGACAAAACCACGCACACACACACCAAATTGAAACTCAACCAATGAGTGTAATGCAGGCCTCATTTGATACATGAAAACTCATGGCTCTTGATAGATATTGCAAATGTTCAGTTTTTACTGTTGTTTTTAGATTCATAACTTAGACTAAATAAAAAATTCATGATGGGTAAATGAGCAAATTAAAAATGAAATTTAGATATTAAAACATATCAGGATGGTTAAATGTAATATTTTATTAGTGTATGAAAATTCAATTATCAACTCTTTGTAAGATAAATTAAGATTTAACAGTTTACAGGAACATGCTTGAATTGGATTGATGTTTGTAAAAGGCTGAATACGAAGACTTGACTCACCAACACTTCTACTAATTTGATTCATTGTATTCACTCATTCATTGGCCAAAACAGTTAAATAAAATAATGTAGTATTTCCTAAAATCCAATTATTTATCAAGTTATGGGATATACAGTAGAATCTTGTTTTAACAGATCATGTAACAATGGATTTTCAGAATAATGATTTTTTCCCCCAGGTCCCACCAAATTAAAGTAATTTTACCTCCTTTTAACATATCTGTAACTCAGAATAACAAATTTTTTTTTCTATCCCCATCTTCTGTAAACATCACATTTTTCAATGTTTAATTAATATTTGGGTGTTTCCAGGTACTGAATTTTAAAAAAATACATTACACACGGAGCAAAATATGTGTGTAATCAGCATGGTTCACATTGCTAATGTTATAGCTGCATGTTGTAAAATAAAAGATAAAAACTAAAAGTGAGGGAATAAATGGCATCACCATATCAACATGAGTTAAGAGAAAGAGTGATTGTTAGTGTCCTCTAGTAGCACATCAATTAATAGTGGGAAGATACTTCTGACTTGATGCTTCCAGAAATGTATGTCTGCAAGGTGTGTGGCAAATTGGGGATATCACAACTTGAAATCACATCATCCTGCTCACTTAACAGTAACATTTCATACTGATGATGTATCCAAAAGATGCCCATGAGCATAAGGCATAATGTACTGTATATGTAAGGTATATCTTATAACATACGTTTTCTATGGAATAAAAGATAAAGATCTCAAGAGGCTGAATAATTTCAAGTAGAGAGATTTCTTATATGAAGGGGATTTAAAAACAGATTTTTCATATAATGAATACTTTCCTGGGTATACAGGGAAATCTATTGTTCATGATATAACAGATTCTCAAAACATCAAATGATTTTCAGTGACCCAAAACATCTGATAAAACAGGATTCTACTGTAATACTCTTCTCACCATCCTCTCCCCCCTCTAAAACATCAGTAGAATGCATTGTCATTAAACTTATTGCAGTTATGTCCTCAAAGTTTCGGCCTTCTATCTCAATTATACATACTTGCCAATCTTTAGTATGGAGAATAGTTGGGACGTTAGTAGAAAAATTCTAACAGTATACAAGGTCTGTTCAAAAAGTATCGGACCTGTTTTTTTTCCGCGTAAACCAATGATGCGCGAGAGGCCTCCTTTGGTGGAGTTGTGGAGGGGACAGTCATGCACAGCCCTGAATTTTTTCCCGCTTGCAGGAAGCGTCAGTCGTTGGCAATCGGCCTATGAGTGAGGTCATGTAGTGCGCTCTCGTCGGATTCCACTAAGCTGGAAAATGACTGAACAACGTGAGCAGCGATATTACATCAAATTTTGCCAAAAACCTTGGCGATACCCGAACGTAAACCATTCGCAAGATTCAGCAGGCTTTCAGGGACGATCCTCGAGGCCAAAAAAAGCGTGGCAGGTCCGTAGCAATGTCAAAGGTCATGTTGACAGTTTTTTCGACTCTCGTGGGGTGGTGTGTTGTGAGTACGCACCAAAAGGCAAAACCATCGCAAAGGAGTACTACGAGGAGGTCCTTTGTTATCTTTCCGATACAGTGCGACGCAAACGATTGGATCTGTGGTCGATCAAAACTTGGCAGCTCCATCATGATAACGCATCCGCCCATTCTGCGCATCTGATTCGGGCTTTCGTCGCCAAACACAATACTCCTGTGGTTCGTCACGCTCCGTACTCTCCCCACATGGCTCCATGTAACCTTTGGCTATTTCTCAAGCTGAAAATGCCGCTAAAAGGAACCCAAATTTAGTCGAGAAAAGACATCATGCGAAATGCGACGGACCGGCTGATAACCATTCCAAAAAATGCGTTCCAGCAGTGTTTCCAGCAATGGCAGGAACGCTGGGAAAAGTGTATACATTACCAAGGAGACTACTTTGAAGGGGATTAGGGTTTTGTACCTCAAAGTCAATAAATTTATTTTTGCCGACCAGACCTTGTAAAAAACGAAAAATTCTTTATTAACATTAATATTGCACAAGACTTAAATTAAATACTTTTAATAAACAAAATTTAATTTATCTCTGTGTATATTTTATAAAGCTATTGCCATAAACACTGTCAAGAGTAATGCAAAAGCTTTATACTCTTTAACATCACCATTTTAAAAAGGTTAAGAATTTTACAGGACACATCATAAACCTAGGTGTAGATTTATGATGTGTTCCATCTTGATATGTCAGAAGTCTTGATATCGTTGCACGATGAGTGCCTCCGGCTGTATGCATTTGTGCTATGATTTGATTTGTTAGCGTTACAGTGTACTCATAATGGTTGCTATCAGTCAGTTTATTTACTTTCACAGCAATTATTAGGACAATGATTTTTCTGGTTGTGATTTATTTCCTATCTCTGTCTTACTTTTTCATTTGCCACTGCAATGCTGTGACAAGACCATCATCAGCCTATTTAAAAATTATAAATCTTTGTAAAATCTCAAAGAATCATCTGGTTTCTTTTCTTGAAAAACTTCATACATTATGGTCTGTATATTTTTAAGTGATGAATCAGATTTTCTTCTTTTTGGGTAAAGAAACTATAGCACTGCTCAATAATTTGGTCTAATTCTAAAAGTAACTGGTTTCCTTCTGATAATGAGTTGTCCATAATTGATTTAACCACGGCCGCGTTTCTTTGTGCAGCGAGAGTGTAGCGAAATGACATCACGAGTAGTGTTGGCCAATTAGAAACCAGTTTCAGTGTGTTTGCTGTAAAGCGCTTCTCGAACGCTGCATAAAGAAACGCAAAGTACCAATGGAAGGACACTAACATTGCCAGACTTGAAGATGCAATTTATCACATCTGCCATTTAAAATGATATTTGAGCTAAAATTCTCACACTTTTATAAAAATATCAGTCTTGGTTCTTCCCAAATTGAATGAATCTGATTCACTTCAGTCACTCGTAACAGAATACATTCAATATCCTCAGCATTGTAAGGAACCAAGTCCGAGCATTATTTTTATTTACTTTTATTTTTGCTTTTGATTATATTTTTGTTTGGGGCTTATGTTTTGTTAGGACAAAGGTTTCCTCACCATTCACCTTAGAAACTTAAAAATAGAAGAGAAACCAACTCACCGACGAGAGAAAAGAGCCATAGGAAAAACTCATGCACACTTGCGCTCCTGAGTGGAAAAAAGTAAGTCCACACCGAGAAAAGGGGGAGACCCCGCAAGCATAACTTATGACCTTGCTAAACCATAAAGAATAAAAACATCCCGAAAATTATCAAAAAGAATAATGTAAAAGGTTAGCGAGTATTGTTGGAAAATAGGCTGCCAGACAAATAGAAAAAGTTTATTGTTAGCAAATAAGTATGTAAATGAAGGGAGTGATCGCATTCAGAATTGTGACGTCACCTCACAGTATAAAGTCCAAACCTCAAGTGAAGACAAGTGAGGTGAGCTTCTGTTAGCAACGAGCTTGGTGAGCTTTGTAGCAGCAAACGAGAGAGAGGTGTCCGATAGGATAAAATAGTTCCAAGGCAATTGTGAAGTTATTTGATTTGTGGACCGAAGATTAGAGAAAGTCTTGAGAGTTGAGGAAAAGGGTTCCTAGTATATTGAGGTGACGATTAGGATCTTTAATTCATAAGAATTATTGTATATAAGTTAAGTCTTTGAAATTTTGTCAAATTCTAAAGGGGAATAGAATTAAGTTAGAAAATAGATTGATTTGAGTTTTGTCGGGTTGATTCTTATTGAGTTTCATTGAATAAATTGTTACTTAATTTTTACTAAATATTGTATATAATTTATTACTAGAATATTTATTAAATATTTGATTTGTTTTTGACAAACTTTGTCATTATTTAACTCGGTGCACGCTTAAAGTCCAGGCCTGGCACACTAAGGGTGCGACTATGCAGACACAAAGTTAGAGCGAGCGAGAGGTTGCGAGCGATTTAGTTTTTGCAAAGGAAAACCATGCACAAACGAGAAGCGAGAAATAACGCTGGCGAGAGCGAATTTCTGGTTCTCGCACGTATCTGACAGGTTTTGACATTTATCGCGTCTCGCCTCTTCTCGCCACATATTTTCGCTCGCTCGGAAAATTCGCTTGCTCGCATCTGCATAGTCGCACCCTAAGGCCCTGTACACACTAGGCGTTTTTCAACGCGCGTTTAACGCCGAGCTAACGCGCGACGAGCGTTAGTTCGGCGTTTAGCACTGGCTCAGTTTGGAAATGGACGAGAAAGTAATTGATTGTGTGTGCTCCTCCATCGTCGCTATAAGGCAGCACATATATCTCAAAGCGCCCGTAAAGTGCCCGCAAAACGCGCGTTTTAACAAAAATCTATAAACGCGCGTTTAACGCGCGCTTGGCGTTTGAGTGTGTACGGCTACATAGAACTCTTGGTTCTTTAAAACGCGCGTTTAAAAGCACGTTGAAAAACACCTAGTGTGTACAGGGCCTAACGCGAATCCGCGTAAAGTACCCATTAGGGAACGGCTATTTCCGGCACAGTCGTGTCGATAATCGTTGTAGAAAGTCGGAAAAAAATATATAGTACTTTTCAGCATATACTATATATTGGCATTAGACTCATTAAATGAAGTGTTTACGTGATAATATCAAATTCTTTAAAAGCACAGACAAAAGGGAAAAGCGGCCTGTCCACTGACGGAGCATACAAACGCTGATGGTTGGCAAGTAGGACTGTAAGTGAATGAAATATGAGTCGCAAGATTTGAGTACGATACAAAGCAAGTTACAGTAAACAAAAGCGTTCAAATAATTATATAGATCCAACAGATTTACATTTGATCGATTATTAACTTTATCCCACGAACTAAAAGTAAATACAAAGTGTAATAATTATATTTAAAAATAATTAACGAATCTTCTAACCTTGCAAGCTGCTAAACAGGTATTTGTCGTGCCGAAATATAATCCGAAAGTAGTCATTTACATGTATCGAAAAATTACCTAAACGTCAAAGTAACAAAACCCACGTGCTTCGGTAAAAATGAAGAATAAGTATTTACGCCACCTGATGCAAAAGGCCAGAAACTTCCTTACATAAATAAAAGCTTTAAAAAATAATACTAACGATTGTGAAAAATTTTGATAAAAAACCATAATTATTAATTTAAAATAACTTTAAATTAAATTCAATAAATAATATAATAAAAATATATAGAAATTTGTTTATTTATTTATTTATTGCATATACAATAGGAAATGTCATACGACAATTGATATCCTCCACCGAAAACAATACCCATAACAAAAAATTAAAATACAAATTAAAAAAATTAAAAATCAAAACATATGATAAAAAATATACACAAATAAAACAAATATTTATATATTATAAAAGTAACCGTTACAAATGCGTTTAAAATGTAGAAAATCTTCATGTAGAGATTGTTCCACACAGCCCATATTCCGAACAGACCAGTAGAAAAATGATCCCAGAGAAATGAATAGCCTTAAAAATGGNTTTTATCTATGTGCACCGTCATGGCGGCGGGCGCGATTGTTTGTGCTCAACGAACTCCTCTTGGAGGGGAGCCGCCGGCAGGCCGCCGATTATTTAACGTCACTAGTTATTGATTCACGGTAGTTCTTAAACACACGTATAACTAGTATAACTAAACAAAATAACTAGTAACGTCGGCTTCCCTCCAAGAGGAGTTCGTTGGGAGCACAAACAGTCGCGCCCGCCTCCATGACGGTGCACATCAGAGCTGCGGAGTCGGTAAAAAAACACCCGACTCCGACTTCTGATAATTTTAGTAGGCAGACTCCGACTCCGACTCCCGACTCCGGCAAAATTAAATACCAAGTTATTTTATGGGGGGCAGAGGCTCTCATGGGGATATCCTACTCTGACCTCTAAAAGGAGCTCCGGGCATTTACCCAAATACTTTTATACGTAGGCTGTTTTTCAAACCCTGATGGTCGACGGCCGGATGCCCGCTCAGTCAAGGTGGCAGTCTACCGCTCTGGGGGACCTGTGATCAAATCCAGAAGGCTCGAACAGTCCCAAGAACTTTTTTGGGGGTGGTCCGTCCGGATATGTCGGGCCCCGTCCTTCACAACCCAGTTGCCAAATTCGATGACCCATAAAAAAAAAAAAAGACAAGTGTAAATAACAAAATGAATTCATTACCAAAAGTTAGGTACAGACGTGGTTACTTTTCGACATAATCACCGTGAAGATATAACAAATTCCTCAAATTTGTTATATCTGTGGAAGAGCTTTTCCATTCCCTTGTCATAGAATGTTGCCGCCAATGACTCGAGATGGACCATAATGTTGTTTTGAAGATTGTCATTAGTCTCGAACCTTTGCTCTCCAAGCCACTTTTCCTGTTCAGGAAATATGTGGAAGTCGCTCGGCGCTAAATTGGGGTTATACGCTGGGTATTTGAAGGTGTTGAAGACTTCCACCTCTTTCCTGAACTGAAAACGTGGCTAGCAGGGCAGTGGTTTGAGACTAATGAATTAATGACGATCTTCAAAACAACGTTAAGGCCATCTCAATTCACTGGCGGCAACATTCTATGACAAGGGATGGAAAAGCTCGTCCACAGATATGACAAATGCCTCAATCTTCGCGGTGATTTTGTCGAAAAATAACAATGTTTGTAGCTAACTTTAGGTAATAAATTTATTTTGTTATTTACACTTGTCCTTGTTTTATGGACCATCTGAGCTTGAGAAAAACCGCCCTCGTAGTTAGTATTTTTAATATTTATTTATATAAAAAAATTAATTTTTAACAAATATTTAATAAGAGGAGAAAGCGGGAGATAAAATTCTACATCTACATATATTCGACAGCATTTGCACTTCAATTTTACCCTTCCAGAATAGTTAGTTCAATTAAAAAGTGTGCGATCTAGCTACTTCAGCCCCCTGTTCAGCAAAGAAAAATATGAATTCTGATCGATTAGTCTGGCTCATTCAAAAAAATGGATTACTTATTTAGAGCAGGGATAATAAAGGAATGATCCAAAATATTTAAATTCAATTGGGTCAAAATAATTTTATTACTAAACACAAATATTACAAAGAACACTACATATTCAATAAATTAAATTGATATATTTTGTATTTAAAATAAATGAATTATTACAAAATATAAAAAGATTTTTAAAAATTAATAAATATATAATAAATTTTTTTTCATTTAAATAAAAAAACTAAAGTAAAGTTAAAATGCGGGAGTCGGAGTCGACACATTTTTTTCCGACTCCTACTCCGACTCCTCTGGCCAGAAATTCCTCCCGACTCCGACCTCACAGCCCTGGCGCACATAGATAAAATTCTACCAAAGATTTCTAAGAATGTTTAGAAATGCATTTAACTTATCGATACAGAATATTTTATCTTGTTCAGAAACATTTAAATAAAAAGTTAAAGAAAGAAATGTCTTATTATTTACTTTCAAAATTAAAAAAAAAAAAAAAAAAACTAAGTGATGTCATTGGCTTTCACCATTGCAGTTAAAGGTTAAAACTCCCTTTCCTTTGCACACTTTTAAACAAGTTAGAATATTCTAACTCGTTGCCTTTACACAACACTAATGACATGCTCCTTCACTAAAGGGAAATGGCGAACGTGTATTCACTTTTTTTTTTAACATTGCGTCGCTACAGCCACTCTATGTAGTGGGTTTATTTATTTATAAAGAAAAAAAAAGGTGATGTATGTATTCTAGCTCGTTGGGAATAACTATTCAAAAGCACTTAAAATATTATGGTTTCTATTTCTTTTTGTGCAGCAATTACTGTATATGCCTGTAATTTACAAACCGTTCGTTCTACATAAAATCTACAAACAAAATATTTCTACAATTAGGCCTATATTAATTGGAATAAAAGAAATTACAGATAACGAAAATTTATTAAATATACTTCGTTTTATGTAATTTATAGGGTTTATTATTCTCCCACTTAAAGATCGCGTATTATTAAGCGTTATTTGTTTTTTTTGTGGCGTGACTTACGTCACACAATCTTTCTACTGTACTATTCGGCATAAAAAAATCGACGTCAAAAATTATTTTAAAAATTAATCAAACAACACAACAGAGAATAACGCTGTTGAACTTTATTGTTCGTATTTTGTTGTTGGAAAATGTTCGATTCAGAAGTTGAAAATTAACAGAAGCGAGACTTATAAAGCGCCGAATATGCCCGGCCAAACTAAAAGGTATTTTGATCACGGTACTTTCTTAATATTGAGTGTAATAAGTAAAAGCAGGCTTAAAAAACTTTCAGATTGCTAATATTTTATATTTTTGTAATGAAATTCGCTTGTATATTTTTGAAATTTTACATCAAATGAAAGATTTCATGTTGATTTATCAAATAAATTTTGCTCAACAATGAAAATCATCTTGGGCAAAAATAAGTTATTTTGGTTAAAATAGAGAAATTAAAAATAAGGTTAAAAAATTTAAAATATTAATAAAAGTTATAAGAATTAAATTTGGATATAAAAATTGTTTTTTAATATAAAAGAGATGGGGATAAAGTGACTTTTTCAATATAAGCGTGTTGCTATGAGATGCCAGTTATTTGACATCGATTTAATCATTTTAAATTCATATTTTTATTTATTTTTGAATAAATCTTTATGGTAAACTGGGATATGTTTTAAAATTATATTATACATAAAATTGGATATTTGTAGTAGTGATTTAATACTTTGACGTACAGTAATGCTTGCTACATTTATCGAGACGTCATATTTATCTAACAATTATTTCCAATTGTTCCTTTTTCTATTATTGTATTGGCGTGCAATAATATAGAATCTTTCCAGAAATTCCGACTTATCAACGTTGTACTTCGACGCTATTTTGAATAGAAATATCTCGAGAAGGTAAGTATTACTTCTTTTCTTGGTTTGTGATTAAAATTAATTAGAATTTCAGCAAACGAAAGACAAAATGAAAAATCAAGTCATTGGGCGAATTGGAAGCAATAAAAGTGATTAATTTTAGAATTTTATTGTTGCAAAATGTATTAACAGACGTGGATTTAAATCGAAAATCGGGACGTTGGAGGATTCGAAATGAATTTAGGTATGTGATTAATCTATTTAGAATATCTCACTATTAATCACATTTTTTATGTTTTAGAAAAGTGAAGGACGAAATTAAAATCAGGCGATGTTGGACATATAGGTAATAAACTACGGTTATATGATTAATTTATTTAAAAAATTCGATATTATATTAATGCTTAACTATTGACAGGCGAGGGTTGCAATCGAAAATCAACGGACGATATAAAATGCAAAATCTGCTTAAATTCAAACGATTTTAAATTGAGAATTTTCATTAACAGAAATTAATTCAGAGATCCGGTTATTTCTTTTAACATATTGTATGGAAAATAGAATTTTATATACGTAGAAGTTTCCGATATCTGTAAGTAGTGTTTCGTGTTTGAATATCAATAGGCCATAGCGGATACATAAAGGAGACTATCTCTTTATTTTTTCCATAAAGAATTTAACTGGTAAGTTATTTCTTAATAAATGTTGTAGCCTAATCGATACAGAAACCAAAATTGTGTTGTGTTACATAAGCGAGATTTTCATGTTTTAAACAGAAAACTTGAAGATATTAAAAGTCAAATAAACAAGAAAATGAATATTATCACTTATAGAAATAGAATTGTAACATCTAAATCACACAACATTAATAACATAACATTCAGAATTATGATATAAGAAAATCATTCAGAAATAATATTGCATGATTTCCTCAAATCAGTTTCTTCTCGGGAATAAATAGAATAACGAATTTCTGAAAATAATATTTAAATTTTTAATATAAACAATTAAATTCGTTAATTTTGATATATATTTACGTCGTTCATCATTTAATTTCAGATATTTGATAAGAATATCATCTGGTTTGTACTGCTTCAAGATAGAATTTATTTTGACATTTCTTTGTCGTAATACAAGAAGGAAGAATTGGGATAAGTAATTTCTAATATCTTCAATATGATAATTTTTTTGTAAAATTTAAT